AAGACTGTTCCAGATTTTAGCAGCATGAATCTGAAAAGCAGCCTCCCCATGTTTAGTTCTGACTCTGGGCACTAACAGGAGTCCAGTCCCTGTGCTCCTCAGAGTCCGGGCTGGTTCATATGGGACTAACATATCACTAATATAGTTTGGTGCGAGGCTATGGAGAGACTTGTACACAAGCAGAGCTGTTTTAAAGTCTATTCTCTGAGCCACAGGAAGCCAGTGCAGAGACCTCAGGACTGGACTAATGTGGTCGTACTTCCTGGTTCTAGTCAGGACTCGAGCTGCTGCATTTTGAATGTACTGCAGCTGTTTTACAGCCTGTTTGGACAGACCTGTGAGCAGGCCATTGCAGTAGTCTAACCTACTGGAGACAAATGCATGGATAAGAATCTCCAGGTCTGCTTTAGACACTATGTTTTTGATCCTGGCAATGTTTTTTAGATGGTAAAAAGCTGCTGATGTTACTGATTTGATGTGGCTATTAAAATTTAAGTCTGAGTCCAGTATTACCCCTAGATTTCTGACCTTGTTTGAAGGTTTTAGGGAGAGAGACTGTAGGTGACAGATGACGCTCTCTCTTTGTTTCTGGGGACCAAAGACAATCATTTCAGTTTTGTCTGCGTTTAGCCGAAGGAAGTTGTTTTGCATCCAATCACTGATCTGTTGGATACAGTGAAGGAGTGAGTCCACTGGTCCATGTTCTCCTGCAGTCAGTGAGACATAGATCTGAGTGTCGTCTGCATAGTTATGATAGGAAACTTCGTTTCTGCGTATTAACTGACCTAACGGCAGCATGTAGAGATTGAACAGAAGAGGTCCCAGGATCGACCCCTGTGGGACTCCACAGGTCAGGGCCATATGATCTGAGACACAGTTTCCAATCTCCACAAAGTACTTCCTGTCTTCAAGGTAAGACCCAAACCAACTTAGAGCGGTGCCAGCGACGCCAACCCAGTCCTCTAGTCTCTGTAAGAGGATCTCATGGTCGACGGTGTCAAAGGCAGCACTTAGATCTAACAAGATTAAGATTGAGACTTTGCCTGCATCAGTGTTCAGCCGGATATCGTTTGTAACCTTAACGAGAGCAGTCTCAGTGCTGTGGTGGGGTCTAAAGCCGGACTGAAACATATCAAATGAGTTGTTGATTATAAGAAATCTAGTAAGCTGTAGGTAGACAACTTTCTCAAGGACTTTCCCCATAAATGGCAGATTTGAGATGGGACGATAGTTGTTAAGTACCGTAGCATCGAGACTGCTCTTTTTTAGCAGGGGCCTGATGACTGCAGTTTTCAGGGCCTTTGGGAATATTCCAGAATGAAGGGACATGTTTACTATCTGTGTGAGTGAAGGTAACAGACTGCTCAGAACAGACTTCAGAAATCTAGTGGGTAGTACATCCAAGCTGCATGTGGAGGAGCTCAAACTGGAGATTATCTCTTGGACAGTTTTATCATTTACAGGTGCAAAGTGAGTTAGCTCAGAGAGCCTTTCTGGCTGTTGGATGGTTATCTGTGGATTGGAGACAATGGCGTTTTTGATAACTTGAACCTTGTCATTGAAAAAATTAGCTAACTCATTGCATTTACGTTTGGAAGTAAGCTCTAATGGCATTTGAACAGGGGGGTTTGTTAATCTATTAACTGTTGAGAACAGAACACGCAGATTGTTGCTGCAGCCTTCAATCATTTCAGAAAAATACCTTTCTCTCGTACTACGTAGCACCCGGTTAAACTCGCACAACTTATCTTTGAAGATCTCGTAATCAACCTGGAGGTTGGACTTGCGCCACCTCCGGCACTTTCTCTTTTGTGCCCTGACCGAGTCTGCTTTAGCCCACGGCGCCTTCTGCTTATTTTTCACTATTTTAACCTTCACAGGGGCAACGGTATCCAGAACATTCAAAACACTAGAGGTGACAGAGTTAAACAGTTCATCTACAGTAGAATACGATGCATTCTCAAAGTTTATCATTCCCATAAATAGTTCACCCGTATTTTCATTTATGTGTCTTCTTCGTACAGTTGCAGAGTCCACTGGTGGTTTGTTAGTGAAACACATGTCAAAAAAAACACAGAAATGATCCGAAAGAGCAACATCGACCACGTTTACATTTGAAATATTCACCCCCTTTGTAACTAACAGATCTAGAGTGTGCCCTCTGCTGTGGGTGGGGCCACTTACGTGCTGAGTGAGATCAAAGGATTCAAGTACAGAACTCAGCTCATTTGCATTTCTGTCATCAACATTATCCACATGAATATTAAAATCACCTGTAATAACCAAACTATCAAAATCTGTGCATACAACTGAAAGCAACTCGGTAAAATTATCAATAAAACTGTGACATGACTGCGGTGGCTTGTATAGGACAATGAAGAGTATTGGAGGAGATTGTTTTTGTTGTATTTTAAAAGACACATATTCAAATGACGAAAACTTCCCAAGAGACATTCTATGGGAGACAAAGTGGTCTCTAAAAATGGCAGCTAAGCCTCCTCCTTTTTTGTTTTCCCGTATTTCAGATTCAAACTTGAAATTTGGTGGTGATGCTTCTATTAAAACTGCATTTTCTGAATTTTGGTCAAGCCAAGTTTCAGCCATGAACATAAGATCAAGATTATGAGAACAAATAAAATTATTGATTAAAAAAGACTTGTTACAAAGAGATCTTACATTAAGCGTAGCAAGTTTCAAGGTTTCAGTATCATCGGTTGCGGTCGGCTGATTCTTACACGGAACAAGAATTAGATTTTCCAGATTAGACTGATTAACTCCAGATGTTTTTCTGTAATGTATTCTTTGTGTTATCACTAAGGGAATGGCACAGGTGGCTTCATGACAGGGCCCCAGCCGGGTCTCTCCTCTAACTAGACTGCCAGTGGCTGCGAAGCAGAGACCCTGTGCATCCTAGTGTTTAGAGAAAAGAGGGGAAGGGGAAGGCAGGGGAGGAGGATGGAGAGGTGGGTGGCTTTTGGGTGTTGAACGAGGGGGGCAGGGAGGTGGAGGGGTTTTAGGTGATGGGTTAGGGCCGGGGTGGGCTGAGGCAGAGGTTTTGGATGTTGAACGAGGGGGAAGTGGGGGTGGAATGGTCATGAGGTTAGGGGAGGGACTGGCTGAGGTGGTTTTTGTAGGTGAATTGGAAACCCTAGGTGGTTTTGGAGGTACATATGGGGAGTGGTTTAGCATGTTGGACAGGACTCTAGATCTAGCTAATATGGGTGTGAGAGGAATAGTCTTCATGGCCGATTTTATTAGCCCTGCAGAGTGTTCAGGTAGGTCTAACAGTGAAGGCGGGGATGAAAAACAAAGGGAGGTGTCCCCATTCTCTCTTGATGGAGTGGACGTGGCAGGGGGGACCCAAGACAGGTCCATGGGAGGTGGCGAGGGAGTCTTTGATGGAGGGGCAGGTGGTTGAGGAAACCCCAGCACAGGCCTGTCTGCTGTAGGCTCGGGTGAGGATGGGGGCTTCAGAGGCGCTGTAGATGAAGAAGGCGTGGCTGCTTTGGAGCAGGCTAGGGATGAGGATGTTGGTGGTGGTGGTGGTCGTGCTGCTGGTGCTGCTACTGGTGATGATGCAGCTGCATCTGATGACAGTGGAGGTGTTGAGATCCTTTGAGGCGGTGATGGTGTTGAGATCCTTCGAGGTGGTGGTGGTGTTGAGATCCTTCGAGGTGGTGGTGGTGTTGAGATCCTTCGAGGTGGTGAAGGTGCAGAGACTTTTGGAGTTGGCTTCCTCCCTTTCGATGGCTGCACGCGCTGCGCAGGCTGAGGTCTCAGGGCAAAAGAAAGGTTATCCATCAACACTTTTACTCCGTAAGTGTTCAGATGTGGCCCTTTCCCTTCAAAAAGCTCATGCCTATTCCAGAACAGATTAAAATTCTCAATGAAGGCAAGTCCTCTGCGTGAACATTCGTTGAGTAGGAAAGTATTTAGCTGATACAGACGACTGAATTTCATTTGCTTCCTGTCCACATTTGGTAGTGGGCCACTGATAACGATTGTTGTGTCCATTTTAGCAAGGTCGTCCAATAAGAGAGAGTAATCCCGTTTCAACTTTTCACTTGTGTTGTCATAGACGTCTACTGCCCCCACGTGGATCAACAATCTTTTTACCCCGCCGGTCTCAGACAGAAGCCTCGGAGCCAACCGCCTTATCTCATCCACTTTGGCAGAGTGTACTGAGTGAACCTTGAGATTACGCATATTTACATTTCTTATCGCCGAATCCCCGATAAAGAGCGACTCAGCTGCATTTGACCTTGACTGAGACTGAGACTGGGACTGAGAGACTACTGCTGATTCAACTTCCAAAAGTGGTGAAAAGCGGTTTCTTGTAATTAAAGATTTTTGCTGTGGCATTATGACACTCTTGTTATTAGCTTTGCCTTGTTTGGGCTTGGCACCATATGTGTTCCAACAATTGTCTCTGTTGATTTTGGGAAATGAAATAGCGTCATCATAACTTACGTGCTGTCCATTTGGTCCATTTCCTTTCACTGGTATTGTTGTGTTCAGCCCCAATTCTGATTCAAGCACAAACATTCGGTCTTGAAGAAGTTTTAGCTCCTGTTTGAGTGAAAAACAGCCATCGCAAAGTTTTGTTCTTTTTTCCCGTCCTCCCGACATGCTGTAAGTTAGGTAAATTCCACAAGTCTTGTGTTGAAGTTTGTAAAAAGGAGTAATCCGTGTTTTGTGGAATAAAAATGTAAGCAAAAATGATTAAAGGAGATAAAAAAGCAGCAAGCGAGGAGCAGCAAGAGAATGCGACTGCTCTGTCCAGAGCAGGAAGCAGATATGTAATGTTACTACCCACCTCTGTCTTTTTTCAAATAACTAGGACTAGACCATAGACGCTGTGTGGATTAGAGTCAAAACCACTGTGTCATGTTGTTTCACTGAGACTCGCAGCTGCTCAGGAGATGTTAAACACATCATGTAGTGAGGCATAAAATCAATACAGTGTGTGTGTGTGGGGGGCACACTTTTAAGATGCTTTAAACGCTGTGTTGGCAACAACAATAGAACAGCATGCACATCATGCACTCACCAGCATTCAAACATTACAGAGTGCATTACAGTGAAACTTGTCAACTTATTTATAAAAATAAATAAAAACTTCACAAATACTGTAAATAGTCAGAATTTGAAAAGCATGCAAGTTTGAGATAACATTGAATCAACCGCCATGTTACCTTTTTGATAGCTCCAACTCAAGACACAATCAACCATACAGTAAATACTGTAACTTATGCAAGTAGACTAGATTTCACTACAAACCACCATTTGCTCTTCCCCCAATGCAAGGTATCAAATGCTGTGCTTTAGCAAAAATCAATGTACTATTTAGCTTTTATTTTTGTTTTAGTTTATTTTCTCTCGGATGACCCCATGGTCTCACTGAGTCTAGTTATACTCGTACGTCAGATTTCTCTGCTCAGTTTCCCTCTAATCTGAGCAGTATAATAAAAAAGTGCATTAAAAACATTAGAAAATCATTAGGTGCTAAAGGCAAAGCACGGATCATTTAACTGAGAGGACTGTAGAAGTAATTTCATTATTTTACAGCCATAACACTGAGCACACACACGTATTATCCACACACTAAGGCCAAATATATTTAAACCAATGCAGCTCAACCCCTAACATGGCCTGCAATCTATAGGGCGACGCTAACATCAGGACTAATTGTCAGGAAAAATGTGCGTGGAGGCTATTCCGTGCTTGTGTGTGTAAAGAAAGGCTCTCATTGTGCAGTATTGCATTGATAATGACATCTCAGAGTAAATGAAATGTGGAGCAATAGTGTTTAGGTAAGTGCATTGGCAGCAAATGAATTAGGTTAACCTCTTGTTGAGTGCACTTTCACACAGTATGTAGGTTGTTTTTTCTCATCTCCAGTTTAGTCTGGTCATGCAAAATACAATAACATTTTTTTGTTGTGCAAATTGGGATGGTATTGACTGAGAAGCACTCTGGCGTTTCAGCAAGAAAGTCCTGTGTTTGCTCCGATTTTCTCCATGTGCTCTAGATTTCCCTACTACAAAAAACATTTTGAAATTTCATGTAAAAGAGACACCTTTAAAGAGATAGAGGACTATTAAAAAATAATAAAGAATGTTTACAGATAACTCAATGTTTGTGGGAAGCCAGTATAGAAAATGTAATTAGTGTAATGTAATGCAATTCTGCTACTTTGGCGCCTGAGGGTTTGTTTATTTCAAATGGTACGTAAACAGTGAGAGAACCAAGAAATGGTATGGTAGGTACTTTTGTAACTATATTGCTTACTTTTTTTTAACTATGAACTTTTTGTTGTCAATTTATTTGATTAAACTGAAGATTCTGAATATTACTTTATGTTTTTTGTTGAAGCTTTTCTTTGAAAAATACACATTCCCACTTTAAAATTTTTTGATTTTGAGATATCTGTACTTCTCCAGAGCCAGAAGGAATGGTCTCTCCAGAAGTGGTTCCAGTCAACAGGAGTTCAGTGCGAGTGCTATGGTCACCTCCGCTCAGGCCCAACGGAGAAGTCACAGTTTACAACATCTATGTGAATGACCGGCCACAAGCCAGTAGAGACAACAACTCCGGTTCCTATCTGCTCGTAGATCTTTTGCCTTTCACCGTCTACAGTGTGCAGGTAAGACACACTTTACTCACACAGGCTCTGCTTGTTTTTCTTAGAAAAAAAGAAAACATATTGTAGGACATGCCTGGAATTGGTGTTTTTATTTGCTGTTCTTATTTTATTTGACTTGTTTTAGAACTTATTGTCTTTAATCAATCAACTTTTATTTGTATAGCTAAGTCATTATTTTTTTTTTTTGACCCTTATACTGTTGAAATGTATGCAGCACAGTTTTGTTTGTAAAATCTAAATAAAGTAGATTAAAATATTTGCTCCTACTGTATGCTTCAGGTGGAGGTATGCACTGTTTTTGCATGTGTCAAGAGTGGTAAAACTTACACCACTACTGTGGAGGACCTGCCTGAGGACTTCATTAAACCATATGCTTCAGTGCTCAGTTCCAGGTAATATACAGTACATGCAATTGTATTTTGTTTTCTAAAAAGGGCAAGTCCTCTTTCTAATGCCAAAAAACACACACATCCAGATTTTTAAACATGATGTGATATTTCTCTCAGGGCAGTGAGGTTGGACTGGTCCCATCCAGGCAGGCCCAGTGGGATCATGCTGGGTTATGAGGTCTTAAGACGCGGCTTCAGGTCTTGTGTCAGTGGTTCAAAGGAGAAGGCTTTGAGCTCAGAGTTCACATGTACCTACATCCAGTGTCCTGCAACTCATGGTGTGTGCCATGAATCCTGCTTCCACCCTGACACAGAGGTGATTTTTATGATCTTATCACTACAGAGCTCATACAGTAGGTTGATCTTTAACATTCAATTCATAGCTGCAATAGAAACAGTCCAGAACATAGAACTATAATGTACAGTAAATATTGGCATCATTATAAGCAAGTATTAGAAGTACCCTGCTTTGAAGTGCAGCAATATAACAATATTATATTCACATGTATGTATGTATGTATGTATGCCTAAAACCCTTACCCGAAGCCTTGATCCCCACAGCCCTGTGTTCCCCCATTTCTAAGTTGTTTCTTTCTTTCTAAAATTAGGCCCAATGTTCCCACATTTCCTTGATCGTCAATCTGCATTAGATGTTGTAACCAAACCCTAAACCTAACCCCTTTATCCTAATTTTAGAAATCAGGGAACATACAGTATATCGGTTGTATCAGAGTACTGTGGGAACATAGGGATGACATGAGAAGAACAAATAAATCCAAACCATTTTACATTTGTTCACATGTGTCTGGTTCTGGGTGCATTTGTCCCTTGTGCCTCAAATGAGAACATCTGACAACCAACCATAGGTTGTAGAACTTTCTCCTTCCCATTTTTATTGTCTAATCAAACAAACAAACATCTTAACACACCAAGTAAAAATCCATAATGGCAGCCAGTTTTTTTTAAATACAGATTACAAGCGTAAAGTAACACTTACTGTACTGTGAGAAACACCTGAGCGTGTCTACACTCTTCTGCTTGTAGTTGACATATCTGTAGCTGTAGTGAATCCTGATGTCTATTTATGTCAAGGTTTGCTGCCGTGGTATATTGTTCCCAAAGAAGACACACTATCACTGCTGTGAAGACTCTTACCAAAATTGGAACGATTCAGCCAGTTCTGTTTGTTGTAATGGTAAACTGCTCCCAGCACTCTCTGAACATCAGTGCTGTGGAGGGTACTACATTCTTGTTAAAAACAGTGAGTATCAAATACAGATTTTCTTTCTCATTTTGACCAAAGTAGCCCTTTTGGCTTCCAATTCTTTGTTCTCACATTGTCATATGTCTTTGTCTTTGTAGATGAATACTGCTGCCCTGACCACGCGCAAGGCCGAGTCTCTGTGGGCCTTGGTGACAGCTGCTGTGGGGGAGTTCCTTACTCTGTTGGAGGTGGCCAGCTCTGTTGTGATGAGACCCTTCATGATGGCTATGGGCTCCAATGTTGCGGAGGCAGGGTTGTTGATCATTCGCTGGTCTGCTGTGGTAATCATGTGGAAGGAGAGGTGCATGCATACATTCAAAGTAAGTAAAACTTGCTAAAACCTTAAGTCAATTATAAAAAGTGTTAGAGTAAAATGACTCTGGTAGACACATGGAGCAGGAGCGAAGGGTCGTTTCCCTTTCCTTCTCTCCCGTGGTGTCCCCAAGCACCCGGATACCACAGCACAGATGGGACAGTCAGAGTGTGTGGATGTGAATGTATGTGTGTGTCACTAGACATCTTTGTCATGGCAGATGATGATAAAACACATTCAGGATAGCGCTGTTGAGGGCACTGCCAAGCACACAGCAGGACCAATAGACACTCCTCCCCTCTCCATAGACACAGCCTTTGCTCACACAGACACACATCCAGTCAACAGGGTGCCCTCTGCAGGGTTCACTTAGTAGTGAGTGCCAGAGACAGACACGTGGACTCTATTCATCACACATAAACAATGGTCCCATATGGGCAGCATATAGCACTTCATTACTTTCTACAATCCAACATAGATGCTGTCACGCTGCCAAATAAAAGTTATACGAATACAAGATTTTTTTTTTCAAACACATACACAAACTGATCTGATTTGTGCACTTTACAATCTATACTTGTGTTCTTCCCACAATTGAAACTTTTTTGAATATTGTGAATCCTGATGGATACTTCTTCTCTCTCCCCAACAATTTCCCTTTTTCTAGTCGTCATCTTCCCCCTCCTTGATGTGCCCCCTTTCCATCCACTCATCAGTCATTAGCGTTAGCTTCCCCATTGAGAACATATGGTATGATGGATCGTAGGGCTAGCAGCACTAGCGAGGCTAAGGGCCATTTGCCGGGTGCATTGCACTGTCGGGGAGCCCTGGGGCCAGCTATGCAACCTCGACCCCACACGTCTGTTTCAAGACACTCGCACTTAGGCACACATGTGCAAACAGCAACACCGATTATGAGAGAAAATACTTAACCTTGGCACCAGTCACCCTCACTGTGTTCTTCACATCTTTATAGTTTAGTTATAATGACGCTTTGTAAGTTTGTAATACAACATTTGAGATTAAACTAAATGAAAATAAAAATAGAAAGCAGGAAAGATTTGTTCAATAACTTATTCCTACTTTTTTTTGTTTTTAAGCGTAGAATATAAAGGAAGTGGGTGAACATAGGGGGTGGATGGAGAAGCTGTAAAGAACTAGATGGAGCAGATTAAAGGAGGAGTGAAGGGTATCCCATTGTGCCCAGCTGATAGACTAGGTTAGGCTGATGTGATTATGGGGTCCCTGAAGTGCGATCTATCACACATTACCGTCCACACTGTCAACAACCATACACACACACTGCAGGGGAACCGCAATGCCAGGAGACAGCCGTCTGGCAACAGATACCACCACCAGCTCTAGCACACACCAACAACTCTCTTATACTTACAAGAACATACAGTCAAAAGAATAAGTCTTACATTGAATTATTATGATAATCAATTAGTTAAACAATTATTCTTTCATTTAATTGATTGGTGGTTTAGACCCCGAAATTTGACTACAAATAAGTTATGCACCTGGAGAACATCTTCATTTAGAGAACTTGTTACATAAACACAATAAACACAGTTTTATTTCATTCTGACATTCAGTCATTATAGAAAATCGCATACCATATAATCATATCCTCTCTTCTTGATAAGTAAATTAGTTGACAACTATTTTAAATAGGCGATTAGTCACGTATGAATGCGTATTTCAGGGGAATGCAGAGCAAAATTTCACTCGCTTTTGATAATTATACAAAGTGGGGAAGTTTAATCATTTTAACCATGTGTTTTATTAAATTTCAGTGTCCCTTTTTAAAATAATCTAATATAATCAACATACATGCAAAATCATATGTACCTCCAACCATCCACTTACTTCTGCTTCATCCTTTCCCGGGTCGCGGGGGCAGCAGTCTAAGCAGAGACGCCCAGACTTCCCTATCCCCTCACAATTCCTCCAGCTTATCCGGGGGGACCCCAAGGCGTTCCCAGGCCAGCTGAAAGACATAGTCCCTCCGGCGTGTTCTGGGTCTTCCCCGGGGTCTCCTCCCGGTGGGACGTACCCGGAACACCTCCCCTGGGAGGCGTCCAGGAGGCTTCCGGAACAGATGCCCGAGCCACCTAAACTGGTCCCTCTGGAAGTGGAGAAGTGGTGGTGTGACTGAGCTCCTCACCCTATCTCTAAGGGAGAGTCAATCATATCTAACTCTAACCCTGTGTAAAGAGGACTGGACACAATTAGATTTGAGAGTCATGAACAACATTTAATATCCCACAAGCGCTTGTAATGTAAGAAAATGTTTCTTTTCGCAGAGCTAATAGTGGTTTCCACTCTCCAAAGACATAATTATAAGGTACAGAGATGCAGTTGCCCACACCACAGTAGCAGTCCTGTGATGAGCCACAATACTGGGTCACAGGGTCTATCAGAATCACAAATCATCAGCATTATGTTCCACAAATTTAAAAGCAACATTTTACAAGATCTTGTCTCAGAGTATAGTCTTCAGTCTAAAAAGATGTCCCTAAGTTGTGTTATTTTTTCCTGTGTTGAACATTGATTGGACTTTCAATCTTGTCTTCCTCTTCTCTCCTTTTCTTTGTTCTTCTTTGTTGTTTAGATGTTTAGCTCCAACTTAGGTGAGATTAGAAATTATTTGTTTTAAATATCATGTTGCTTGGTTTTCACCATTGAATGAACTCAATTTCCCCTTCACACTTTTTCTATCCTACTTTCCCTGACCGAGCATTTGTTTAGCGCTTCTATCAGCGACTTATAAACTGCTATGCATTTTTAACTCTTACTAGAACCACCGTTCTCTGGCCTCACGCAGCAGGCCCCATCCAAACGTTCAAGGACAAATCTGAATATCCCTTTTCACCGTTTAAGTGTTAAAAGCCTGGCGGTGCTGGGGTGTTATCTTAACGCGCCTTGCCATGCCATCATCAGAGTGCGTGATGAAAATGGCTGTGATGATGCTAAAAGAAAAAAAGAGGAGGGGGAGAAAAAGTAATAATCAAATATGTTTTTCAAGGGCACACTGACCATTTGCTGTAGGGAAATTATCCCAGTAGTTAAGCTCCCTCACTCTGAGCCTGGAAGAGTTTAGACTATATGTATTTTCATGTGTCCAAAAAAATCTCTAAATTGCAGATATTTTTATTTCTGTTGTTGTGGGGGTTTTTTTAGCTTCATATTTTATAGCAGAAAATAAGTTTTGATTAGAACTAACGTAATGCTTTTTAGAGCTTCTGCATGTGCATCATTGCCAAAAGCCCCACATCAATGATTGGATGCAAATGACAAATACTGTGATCCAAGGATTTGGCTTATTTGGAAGAGGACTATTTTGATGAACGCAAAAAGACATTTATCTCTCCGTTAATGTATTTTTAATGATAACCTTTCAATTAGGTTTTCTAACTGTCTGGCATAAAACTTATCTTCTATGTTTAAAGCTGTACTCATGAAATCAGGAATACACAGACAAATGCTGTTTACTGTTGCATGAGTGTCTTATTGGGTGTGTTTTTATTTGTTCAAAATGTCACCCAATAACATCATTAAACCTTTCTCTGGCACGATTACTGTCTTTGGCTGTAACATAAATACCGTGGCTCCAGGTATATTCACAACACGCTTTTGGGCCACAGTGTATAATTAGAAATTTAATTCTAATTACGTAGTAAAACTTTATGTTCGAGCCAAATGCAATAGAACAATACTTACATGGCTATTATGGTCCATGTGGTCCATGCAAAAACTTCCTTTCAGTGTCACTTTCTCTTTCATGCACTTCTCCTTCCTCCCTCTGTCGTCTCTCTTGATGATACTTTATGCTCGCAGTGGAACAGCTGTTTGCTGTGTCTTCCTCCTCTGTAAATCCCTGTAGAGCGGTGAAAATATAACTGCCACCAAAGTATTTACTAAAATACACATGCACACACACAAGGAGGTCACATAAATGCAATGACAAACACATGCTTGTGCAAAATATCTGTTATGCACAGGTCCAGCTGGTAATTCTCCTGAAAAAAAACATTTTTTTAAAGACATTAGGACAAGTGGTCAGCTGGGACAGGGGTTGGTGTGTAAGTGTCTACATTACGCATGCTGTCTGCTCAAACATCCACATCTGTCTACAGAGAAACACTAAGGGACTCTATCCTCTGTGATTTCCTCTCTCTACATGGCATCATCTGCCCCTATGGAGCAAGACGTGTGTCCTTTTTCATACAGATGTTGGTCTGGTAATCTATTATTACACTATAGAAAAAAATCTATGTACATGTTATTCTGTGCAACACCATCAAACCATTATATGAATTGGAGTTTAAAAGTAATTGTTTTGTTGGAAGTTCTGTAGGGGTTTTGGACTCCTGGAGGGCTTGGATAACCCTAATCCATGATACACATTTTTATCAGTTGTTCATTGGCAGGGCTAAATATTGACTTATCATTAAGTAGTGGAATGGCTGAAACCCTAATAATAATTTGCGTTGTCTAAGCACCTTGTGTTTACGCAACGCTCCCAATGCTATTAACAAATGTATGCAAATCCAACATAAATCTGAAGATTAGAGAGAAAGCGTTGTGCAATTCAAAACAGAAAACAAGAGGTGTCTGATAAAATGCAGGCTATACATGCATGTTCACACACACAAAGGGAAAATCACGCAAACACTAGATAGCATGTTTATGCTGAGATAAACTGGACATATTTTGCATGAGCAGAACTAAAACTAAAACAAAACTGCTTGGGATGTGAAGGTGGAAATATACTGTATATATCCGTTTTATCATTCATCAACTAGTAAAAACCATATACAGTATATGCAATAAAAATAGATAGAGTTCCCAGCCTGAATGGATGTGGTCAGTCAATATACAAAAGCCGACAAATATCATTGTACTGCGATGCTCACAGTAGTCAACTCTTAAGTGACTGGTGTTCAGACGCAGGTGGACTAGCGGTTGCATTGGTGATGAGTGAAGCATAGCTATTTTAGAAAAGTGTTGAGCTGTTTATTTGTGCGTCATTGAAGCTGAAGTAAAGCGCTGAGGGAATTGGCCCCCAAGCGCCCACTCTGCAACAGCTGCAGCTGCTAAGTAAGTTACTGGCCGTCAGACTGCCTTTATGTCACACAATCACACACTCATACCAAACCATTTTCCTGTCACAAGGTGATGGATGCAATGCAGATATCATACACAGTAAATACATTACTCTTTAAGCTTGTAAGTGAACAGAATTGTGTGTGCAAAAAGAATAAATGCTCATTATATTGTTAAACACTTTGAATATATCATGGCACAACTAGCCTCCCATTAAAAGGCCAGACCATGGTACAGAGAAATGACTTGGTTTTTAATGTGAGCTGTCAGATGAAATGGGCGCCACAGCTGGAGGTAGATCACACCACAGATCAGCATGTCAACCACTGGCAGGATAATATTGATAAAGACCTCATGAAACTTAGATTTGATTATTTCTCTAAGCTAAATAATCACAACGGATTCAGGGTCTTACAGAGCTCGGGCCTATGATTCAAAATGAGGAGCTTTTACTCATTATAATGTGACATATTCTTATTTTCCATTGGTACAAATATAATATAATATTCAAACCATGCCGTGCCTTACCAGTCTCATTTGTATTTCCAAAGCATGCGCTCAGCTGGGGGTTACTTTGCTGACTCAGTGAAATGACAGTATAATAATATAGCCCTAATCCACTCAAAGGCCAACACAGGACAGATTTGACCTTAAATTAACTCGTGTATAGCCTGCATTTTATCTTTGAATAAATAAATAATTTTAAAATAAAATAAATGTTAAAAAAATATATATATATTTTAAAACATATTTAACGGCATGCAATTTATTTTGTATTTTTTGTAGACGCATAGACTGTAAAGAGTGCAGCAGACCAGACTTTGATGTAAATGATTTTTTGTAATTTTTTGTTTTTGTTTTGAAAATACTAAAATATTAATTTTGTATGTGTGGTGGTCCATTAATGACAAAAACAAATATAATGTGTTGATAGAAAACAAAATGCAGAGCAATATTGCAGAGCAAAATATAAACAATTATTTTGAAAAAGCGTTTGTAATTTTAAGGTAAAGGGAATGGTGCACTTTATTAATCCCTGTAGGGAAATTCAACCTCTGCATTTGGCCATGCTGATGCCGCTAAGGTTTCGTCAGGAGCAGTGGTCGCCGTAGTATAGTGCTTGGGAACCCATCCCCAGATGTTGATGCTCGGCTTGGTCAGGGCTATGTATTGGGCTCTTGTATGTTCTCTGTATGTTCGCAAAATATTTTGAATAAACTCATTAGCCCAAATAGAGAATTGCATTTATTTTTACCAACCGTAATTGACAGGGCCAAGCCAACGTAGCCCTATTTAAACGACCTGAGTCTTTGATCCTATAGTTCAATTACAAGGCAAGGGTTAATGTACTCACGCGCTGTACTTTGCTTGAAAAACTTGTTAGCACTCTCTCCACAGAAGCTACCACCCATAAAATTGTAGCAGTTCCTCGTTTGTATTCCCGATCAGTAAAAGTAAATCAATCACTTCAAAGTAATAGTTTTGCTTTCGGTCAAATTGAATTTAATATTTATTTTTTCTTAATTAAGAGCTGAAGTTGACAGTACACAAAAAGGCCCATGGAACGTTTTATGATGATTTTGTTATTTCTGAGTGCCTTGAGAAAGTAATAATACAGCTTGAAGTTTTGTACATTTAGTCATGTAACCATAAACTTTAAGATGTGATTTTGATTAAAGTTCATACACAAGTAACAGACAACAGTGAAGTGAAAGTAAAAGGATACATGTTTTGGTTTTTTTGTTTTTTTTTTTCAAAAAATGGAAAACCGAAAAGTTGGGCATGCACAAGTATTCATGCAGCTAATAGTTATTATTTAATATTTTATGGGGTCTTTTGGGTTTGAAGATTTGCACATCTAGAGACAGAAAGTTTAGCCCATTCCTCTTTACAAAACAACTCAAACTTGACAGGTGTTAGTAAACAGCTGTTTCCAGGTCTTTCCACAGATTTTTTGATCATTGAATTTAGGTCTGGACTGGGCCATTCTAACACATGTTTTGTTTTAAACCTTTCCATTGTGTTCATTGTCCTGCTGGAAGGTGATTCTTGGCCCCATCCTCAATTCTAAATATCCCTGTTTTGGTTTCCTCCATCTTACCAGCTATTCTTATGGGGCTTTCAGACCGCCAACGCTGAAACGCGGAAGCCCCGCTCACCAGACCAAGCCCCGGCGATCCAAGATGGTGCCCTATTCAAATGAATGGTTGTGCTCAGTGGCGCTTTGTGACGGCATGGGGGCTGAAAGATTAGCGGAAGTCGCCTGGAAATCGCAAAGATCTATGGGAAACTCGCCTGTATTTGGGCATCGTCTGGTCCTCCCGGTTCTGCGCAGTGGATGATCTCCCATAATGCGTTGCGCCAAACACGCGTGTGAGGGTCTCACACCGGGTCTCACGCACGTGCACAGAGGGGCTCGGCCGTGCTCTGACCAATCAGAGCAGTTCATCAGAGCGGGAGTTAGAGCTAGAGCCAGACGAGCAGAGTTTGTGGCAGTAAAGTGTGGATTTAAACAAAACCGAAGGATTTAAGAAGAAAAAAAGTTCAGGATGACAAGGGACACTAAAATCCCCACAAAATCCGACCTTTATGAAAGCTGTAGGTTCTCTGTCAGCTGAGGTTGAGCTGTTTTAATATGCATTGAGTCCTAAGGGGAAAATTTCTGGGTAGCCCATGTGAATTTAGTCTGGTTTAGTCTGCAGGACCGCGAGAATCCCCCGAGCACATGAGCTCTTCAGCTACAAGCTAGTAATACCCTATCCAGTTATTATAATAGATCCATGCACCAGACGCGCATTCTCTAGTTTTCAGACGCAGAGGACTTCACACCAGAACGTCCTGACGCGAGCCGGAAGTACCGGAAGTAGCCGGCCGGCTCTAATGCTAACAGAGCTATGCTAGCGGCTTCTTGTGTACAGATCTTCTCCAATATGCAGCTTTGCAGCGTGTCTTTGCTCACAGACATTCCACGGGCTTTATATAACAGTAGTATGTGTTCACAAAGGTGCGCCATACGTTTATTCATATTATTAAACGGAATTTCCGCATCGGCGAACACACTCAAAGCCGTTGCATAAGGTCACGGGAGCATGACAACGCATATTTTCACAAGCACAGAGTCCCCCATTGTCAACCGTGGTTTGAGTTCTGGTGAAGTCTGGTGTGGTTCCTGTTTTGGCTGTTTATGAGTATTTTCAGTCTGCTCGCTCAGTCCGCTGATGTCCCCGTGACCACTTTGCTGCTCTCTGATTGGTTGTCGCACGAACGTCCCAAGGAAAGGATGAGCAGAATCCATCTCCTGTGGGCGTCGATTTTTCGCTCCTTCACTTTTCATTGAAATCCGACGCAACGCATGATCCGGTCTGAAAGCACCATGAAAGCACCACTACAATCATCGCAGTCCCAGTTGAAGAAAATTACATAACATGATGCGCTTCCCACCTATTTAACACTGGGGATGGTACAAACAGCAGTGTTAGGTTTGCGCCATACATAAAGATTTGTGTTTGGGCCATAAAGTTCCATTTTTGTCTCATCTGACCAAAGCACCTTGTACATGGTAGCTGTGTCTCACATTTGACTTTTGGCAAACTTCAACTTGGTCAGATGACATCATAATGTTATGTTTTGTCCTAATGCAAAAATAACCATGCTTATCACTCAACTCACAAAAAATGTTACTCACGTAAAATTTTATGTAGCGCAAGCAATGACTCAAAAAACCAACATTTATTTACTCCTCTCATGTGCGCCTTATATAGACATCTACAGATAGACTGGCACTGTAAAAATGACCATAAAATGTGTTATATATTATGATATTTTTCAGATTTTGTCTGCTGCGGACATGAATATATAAACTCCTCAAGTTCTCTTTGCTGTGTGAACAATGATGGATCTGCCAAAGTCCACCCCTCTGGAAATGCTACAGTCACATTACAGTGCTGTGGGTCAGACGTCATTCCAGAGGATGAGAGATGCTGTAATGGGATTGGCTACAATCCTCAACGCTACGTGTGCGCTGACCAAGCCACTCCGGGTCTAACCATGGAGGTGAGTCAATTATTGCATTTTCTATCATCTTTACACATTCATTTGATAACTTGTTATTATAATTTAAAATGACTATGTAATAATTAGTCTAATTTAAAACTTTACTTTTTTCTTTACTCTTTATTTTCTAACTAGCTGAGAACTAAAAAATGTCCTTAAAGTGTGTATTAAGTTTTTGGGTATTTTTTTGTATTTTGTCAAACTGTCACCTCAGCAGTAGGAGACTGGAGAGTCTTCCATTAATCAGACTGAGTCATATGGTGTTTATGTGTCTCTTTATCAGCAGGAGATGGACACACATTAGCAAACACATGCACACATGCACACACACACACACTTGGACAGGGTAGCAACTCTCATTACCTTTAATGATGTCATTACGGACATTTCATGTCACACTCGTTTGCTTTATTGTTCTTTTTAAAGGTACATTTCTTAAATTTTTACTTTTTGTTCAAAGCGATGATTATATTTTTCTTATGCAGCCCCAGTGTCTCCAGGGTGCTACATGTCCCATAGGAGCTGCCTCTTCTGCATACTGTGGCTCCTGTGATCTTGATCCACTGACGACCAGCTGCACATGGGTGCTGTCTCCACATATTGTCCTTGATACAACAGACATGAACAACACCGTCAGTCACACAGAGCTCAATGAAAGCCTTTACTCATACAAAATAGCCAATGGCTACAACGAATTGGAAAATGACATCCAGTTGTTTCGAGCAGGCCTCTGCCCATCTCATGAGGAGGTGGTTTACAGTGGTGATGCCCAACAATTGTCTTTCACAGGTAAGGCATTTTTAATGAGAGCTTGGTTTTTGATACATTTTAACAAACTGGGTATCCATTAAGGCTGTAATTAATGATTATTTTGAGAATTAATATGTTGGCTGCTAAATTCAAAGTTGTTTAGATTCCAAAAAATCAGAGAACATATTCATAGAGATGACTCCTTGGGTTGTTTCATTAAAACAACATTGTAAACACATTTCATATAATTTAGCAGTCATTATATAATTATGAGTCAAAAACATTCTCAATTATATGGCACGTTAAAAAACTATGAATCAAATTTTAGATTAGTAATTTGTTGTATTTGTTATTAATGCCAAATTAGTATCTTGGCTGTTATTTTATCCAAGGGAATGTTCTCTGCCTGTGAATGTAAACTGTAAGGTTCAGTTAATTGACTGGGTGACTGGTTTTACACATTAGATTCTGTATCAAATCATCAGAAATCTAGCTTGACCTATTGATATAATGTGCAAACGTATCTGAATATATTATTCTCATGCTATTATGTCAATTAGTTTGAGGCTTGTGAAGAATTATTAATACTCAATATGACCATCTGGACTTTTAGAACTGTAAACCTGAAAAAGCCATTCTGCACATATATATTGCTCGGTTAGTGTGACAGTCACTGGATTTAGTTGGCTTTTGAGACAGATGTCCATCCATACAATCACATGCGCACACAGAGACAGCTGCTGCAGTGTACCTTAATAGTTGTAATGTGGTGATTCCCTTTACTTTACATCCATATGCCATTACATTTCAGAATGGTGCTCTGCTTGTATTTTTATCCTGACTTCCCTGCAGATTATCATGTCTGTATGTCTCTGTATTTATGAGTGGCGGCCCTGTTTATGATATGGGCATGCTTATATTTTCCTATAACTTCCTATGTGTGTGTTTTAGTCGTGGGGCGGTTAGGATGAGAATTTCTAGGTGATGCTGTGACACCATCTGGGCTGAGGAGCATAAAGCTGTCACCACCCACCATACACCAGATGTTTTTGTTGCACACACATGCAAGCACACACCGGCTCTTTCTGCTCTTAGATCCACATGCTTTAATGCTGATATCTAGCTAAGAAACGCTAATATATCATTTACATTTGTTGACACATATGTAACTTTGAAGTTAGTGTGTTTCTACTAACACTGTTTCATACTTGTGCCCCACCTTGTGGGTTGTATGTTTATCGCTGTGGAGTAAAGAGTCCCAGAATGGTGGTTAAAACATGGTTTCGTTTACTGCAACAGTCCCTGAGCCCTCTTAAAAGTAAAGCACACACATGTGTGATTGTCTAGCACATCTGTATGTGAAAGGCCCACCAGAGGGAAGATAACTGCCTACAGCTTAGGCCATTCACTTTGCATTTCACCAGTGATCGATGCATACACATATGGGGGGATTTATTTACATAAAATATCCATATCTGGTGTACAGTATTTTTTTTTTCTAACATTGTCTCTTTATTTTTAGGATGTATTTTCTCAGAATTGTCCTGCCATAGCCTCATTTAATTTATTTATTTACTTATTTTTTATTATTCTCCCCCAAAGACTCTGATCTGGAACCCTTCACCGTCTATGAATACCGAGTCAGGGGTTGGAACAGTTTCGGCCGTGGTTCCAGTGATGGTATCACAGTGACTACATTTGAGGACAAACCATGGGGTGTGGCACCCCCTGTTTGGAGCCGCGTAAAAGACAGAGATGACATCATCCACTTGCACTGGCAAACTCCAGCTCGGCCCAATGGTAACAATCACACGTGTGTTTATTGTCCAGTTCACTCACTAAGTGTATGTCAAATCATTATTTAACAGGGGAGATCACTCACTATGTTGTATTACGTGATGGACAAGAGCGTTACCATGGTGATGAGACCAGCTTTACTGATGTTCGGGGAATTGAGCCTTTTCAAGAGTACAGTTACCAGCTGCGGGCGTGTAACCTGGCGGGATGTGCTGACAGTCTGCAGGTACAACATGTTTCCTTTACTATTTGCCGTACATTATAACTCAAACGTAATGCATATTGTAAATCTGAGTTTAGGCTGTTTTCTGTTTTCAAAAGTTTGGAGTTGAACTTGCAATAAATGTGTTTCCAATGTTAATATAATTGCCTTATTTTACACAAATGATAGTAGTAGTAGTTCTAACTTATTCAAAGAAGCTGGTTTATTTATAAAAAAGGCGTATTTTGGAATCTCAAATTTTCCAACTGATGTCCGCTCACTTAACCCCACTGTGCCTGAAGCCCCTGCTGAAAGATCAAGGCTGTGTAGTCGCTGACAGAGCAGCCATCCTCCTGTGGACTCACCACCTGCAGGAGGATCAGTGAGGGTCTCTGACTTCCACTCCCCCCAAACCAGAACTAAGGGGAAGAAAATGGATGGATGGAGATTCCATTGCCTTCTCAGCCGCTTCAAAATCTCACATAGACTCACGTAGTTTAATTCTTGGTATGTTGGAGAATGCTTTTATATGTCGTTTTGGATATCTGTATAAAAACAATGAATTGTTAACCTAATACTATAAAAAAATGTCAAATAAACACGCCTCATCCTGGCAGAGGATGAAGTTGAATTACTTTGTACACCAGTGAAAATTGGCCAAACAGTCCCAATTATGGAATAAGTTGGGCTAACCCAATACACCACTCCAATTACCTGGCATCAGCCCTCTTTGCACACAAGGCCACCAAAACACAAGCACACAGCCACACACCTGCTGTGACAACAGAAGGTACTGATCTAATACGGTTGGTCACTTAGAGTGGAAAGAAGAGCGATTGGCTGCTTATGTCTGAATGTGGGAGTCCCGTTTTCTCTGCTATTCATTTACTTTCTTTCTCATTTCTGTAATGTTATGTGTCAATTGAAAACTCCTCATATAATAATTAACATTATTATTTATATATACTTTCCGATTTTAAATAGTACAGCTGTGTATTTCTAAAACTATTTCTGAAAAAGGTTCCAGTATTGTGCAGCCACTGTATCCTCTGTAATCAATCCACACTCACTCAATAGACCTCATCTCCATGTCTCTTAATTTGATTATTCATCACTTTTGCGTTGTCTTTGTATGTTTGTGTTGCTTGGGTGCTGGTGTGTTCTCTTAGTTGTAGTTGCACCGTTCTAATTGCATTGCACTATGTGGGACAGGTGGGGGAAGTGCTAGTGACAGTCTATTAAGGCAGGATATCCCAGTTGCCATTAGCAGCAGATTGCCCTGTGATTCTGTGATCCCACATTCGCCCAGCGTTTACAGGACTCCTGTGATACAACAGTGGGAAACAACAATCAAGTACATCACTGTACTCTTAGATTTCATGTTTTCTGGCAGTATTGAGAATTAGCATGTAATATTTTATGTTAGGTTTTTAAAATGTTTAGCCATTAATTATATTTCATATTTCAGAAATGCAGCATAGTATTGTCTTTTTAGGTTTTAATAACAATAATTGCCATAATAAACAATTCCTGCAATTGGATTAAGGTCATTACTATGTATATTAAAGGTTTACTTTTTTTTGTCTATGTGTGTTATGTAGGTGAGTGCTGTGACGGTTCAGGGGGTCCCAGAGGGGGTGCATCCTCCAGTAGTCTCAGCCTTGAGCTCGACCTCCCTTCTTGTGACCTGGACCCAGCCCTCTCATCCCAATGGACCTATACAGCACTACTACCTAAACCAAACCAATGTGGGAACCATTCTAACCCACACAGAAGGGCCCAGAAATTATACCGTGCCTGGTAAGTGCCACTATTTTCATGTCTGTAACGAGTGTAACTTATTGGATTGAATTCTATACTTATTTTCATATTTCATCAAAGTTGTGAAGACCTGCCTCTGCACACCATCGACTGACTTGTTTAACTAAAGTTCCACATTCAATAAACAAAAACAGACCACTACGATGTGAACAAGCCCCTTTGCTCGTGTCCTTACAAAACCCTTGTAAATGAAGGTTGTATCCACGCAGCAAAGCAGAGGTCCACAGCGCATCATGATTGTGTCTGGAGTTGGGTGATTTGTGAGTCGTGATTTTTCTAACTTAAGTGGGGGCAGTGTTGGCCTGCTGCCATCTTCCACTACGCACACATGCTGCTGTGTGAAGCATTGTATAATTAACAATAGTCAAGGAAACAAAAGGGGATATCTACAGAAGTCGTTTTAATGTTTGGTGTGGATTCAAATAGATTATTTTCAATTCCTTTCTGAATTTGAACATTGTCAGAGTAGAAACTTGTCCATTTTCATGTTTCACATTCATATTTACATTTACATATTATATCCAGTAGATCAATTGAGATGAAATTTTTCTTGGGCTGTGCCAAAGAGAGAAAGGTTGGTAGATTGCGATTATCTAGACCCAAATAAAAATCAAGAGACACCAGTGCAAAGGACTAAAGAGCAGGTCTGAAACTCAATGTTTCTAGGGGTCGCATGAAGCCGAGTCTGGGTGAAGAAGGGGCCACATTAAGGGGTATGTTTATCACGTGTTTGTGTGTGTGCAAAATATATGAACATCAGCGCAAACGGATCTATGCACATGCAGAAAAAACCACTGAAATTGCACTATTCTACTCTGCAGACACACATTAGCTTCTTGCTAATTAATATATTTACCCAAGAGCTACATATTAAACTTCTCATTCTTTAACAATAACATTAGAGAAAGTAAACGTTTGAGCTTGTAACAGAGACGAAAACAGCAAAACCAAGAATCAACCATTAGTGGAAAGTTTTATATTTCATTGTTTGTACTGTATCTGTGACTTTTTAACATATTGTGACCAAATAATTACTTTTATTCAATATCAATTATTTATCATTTTATATATTTCAAGAACAAAATGCTGCTTGGATTGAAACAAACTGGACATAAAGCCATGAGGCTTTGTGTAGACTGGGATTATTAAAGTTTACTTTGAATTCTTGCTTATTGCATTCAGGGTTCTGTGTTTATGGTAAAATAAAGGATGCCATATTTGCACAGACTCTCAGTGGGGTCCGCAAAGACATTTAAGTTTGATGTCCACTAGATTGTCCCAAAATAGCTTTTCACATGTTTGAGACCATTGAGATAGGGCAACGAGCATTATGTGTTTTTACCTCTTGTGTCTTAGTGTTAAAAAAAAAAAAATTGGTAATAGATATGGTGACAAAAACATGACATCCCGTCACATAACATGCATGAAAAATGTACATTCAAGAAGTAAAAACACGTGTTTATGATATATGATGACATATTTATAAGGCTCAGAATTACTTTCTCTCCTCCTCTGTCTTGGACCCAGACCAGGCCTCAGCTTTGCCAGTGGCTAATATTATTCCCAAGGCACCTGTGGTTGGCTTTTATGGTCAGGAAGCATGTGCACACAAACATGGCTGTTTATACGTGGAGGCATGAGAAATTAAAACTATGCCAAATGGAGATGATAATGTAGTTATGTGATACTGCTCAGAGCCATGTGCCAGTGTGTAAAGTCCCCTGTCCCCCGGTATAGCACATTCAGCCAAAACCACGACTGGAGCCCCTCTCACACTATGTCTGCACACCCTCGCTTTGTCTCACTTTTCCATGGTGCTGCTTTTGTTTCCTTCATTCACGTAAATGTATTAATGTTTATGTATTATATGTGTGATCATATCTGAACTGTCTGCCTCTCTCTCTGAAGAGCAATGGATTTAAGTTTGAAAAGTTAAGTTATTCATTGACGATTAACAGCTTTATGTTTCTAACTGACCAACAATTACTGGCTAAGCATTTCTGGGGAACCAAGCATTAAATGATATAACTTGTCAATGTTAGCTTTTTCCCACATCCCCTACTGCTTACGAGTACCTAATGAAATGTAGCAAATACAGCTTTATTAATAGCAATTCTCCCTGTTCTGTGAAGTGTCACTTCATAGAGAGAATTAAGCACTACTGTAGAGGCACCCCTTGTGAATCGATATTAAGTATTGCTATCATTAGCTCACAATGAATTATTGCCTGCAATTATATAGATTATAGCATTAATCATGTGTTTAATTGGTCTTTTGTAGGCTCATTATTAATTCAGGAGAGCGGGGAAAAGAGTATGTTCTTTTATTTATTAATGCAAAACCCCTAGCCTCTGTTGTGAGTGTGTTGTGAAGTGGGTAGAAGCATGTATACGACATGGGAGACTCAGGAGGAAAGCAGGACAACAACAGTTCTTTATTTATGATCCTCTCCTTTATAATATTCACTGTTTTTTCCCAATATCATTAGATTGTGTAAGATGAAACTTTAAGTAATCACAAACTTTGTCAAGTAAGAAAGTAAAAGTAACCACAATGACATAAGGTTCCCCAAACTCACATTAGTATTTCTTGCTCACTTGGCCTCTTTGCCCAAGTAGGTATCAAATGCGCGGCCTGTCAGTATAGACTTTTGGCTTGAATGTATGTGCTCTCATATCCTCCCAGTGTATAGGCTGTGTGCCGTGTGCCTAAACTTGATCTCATTGTTCCATCCCAGACACTCTCTGCATTAGGGAGCCACAGACAGGAAGTCAAACTCTTAATTATTTAGGAGAGGTGTTATCAAAGCTCTCTGCTCTCTCCCTCTTTTCGCTCTAACATTTAACTCAATCGATTACTTTTTTTCATTCTACAAATCAAACTTGAGTTTTGTTTTTCTTTCAGCAATTCTTTTTACATTTTGACCTTTCATTCCATCACTCATGCCTGTTCCTTGAGTTTAGTTGCAGCTCAAATTCCACCCCATGGTTTTCCCACATTTTGCGCGTCACTCGTTCCCTGCCGTTCCCCCAGCCCTCCCTCTGCGCTATATCAGGTGGCTGTCATGGCATTGTGGTGTGGACCCATCATCCTATCATATTCTCCAATGCAAACAGGGACAGCGACCTGTCAATTAAATTCAATTCTAAATGTCGTACAACTTCAGTTAATTTTGTACTTATTTGAACTTTTTCTGTCCAAAATGTAAATGAAGGAATATGTAATGAGTGATTTGGATTTGTGTTGTAATACTTTTCTGCAAAACTAAAAGGTCTATGCTAAAAGACTGCAATGCCGAAATACTACAGAGAAGATACTACTTGATACTGAAGGAATTATGCGATCACAAACTTGCACTACTTTATATGGTTGTAACTTGTTACTTCTCATTCGCACACACTCACAGTGACCGATACAGATAGTAGCTGCATTCTTTAGCAGAACAACACTGCCCTCTTTAGGTGGCCTTTTCAGGACAATTTTGCCAAATTAAACCATAAACGCATGATTAAGATGCACAAGCATAAGAATTTTACAGCTTGATTTGCTGAGGAATTATTAAAAGTATGTTGTTCTTCTTTAGATTCTAAAGCAAGAGCACTATTCATTTGTTTCTGTTTATAAATGTGAAGTTTTATTTGCTGAGCATTTTTGCCTTTATTACAACGTGAAGTGAAATTAGACATGTATGTGGTTCATTTAATAGCCTTGAAGTCCTCTGTTCATCCTGACACTCGGGCCATGCACAAGTCTGGAGTTGACAGTCAGGGTCAGTTTGCTCTGTGTTGTAACAAATGACATTGCATGCAGCATATCATTTCCTATGCGTGAGTGCCCACACATACACACATGCTTAGTTGCACAGTTAAATGGTGTAACTGAGTCCTCACACTGCGGCCCTATAGGACTTCAGTATGGCTGGCAGATTTCCTTTATTTAAGCCTAGCACCAGGCAACATAGTGAGGCCGCTTGGGTGTGCGCACATACAAATTTATCAGAGGACGGGTTAAGTGTGGCGGGCTGCAGAGCATGGTAAGCACGGGACAGAGACGTGGGGAAAGAGTGGAGCACTCTGCTGCGTGTAGACTCACACTTCAGACTCTACCATATGCAGCCAGCGCCGGGAGGGTATCGGCATGCTGCACAACAACACTACAGGGCCCCTTATCTGTCTGACACCTCCACAGTATCAGGGACATAATCTATTTCATTCAAGTATACACATATTAATCAAAATACATGTAGCTCTTATAACTTCCGTGTAATGTGATCATTTTATTTATGTATATTACTTTGTATACAGTATTGTCCTTTTATGTCAAAAACACAAAAGAGGACATATAAATCCAATCCTAAATATCCCAAGAAGTGCGGCCATAATTAATAAAACACATCATTCAAAATATTTAGATCAATTATGATTCATGCCCACTCCATATCATTAAACATGGTCTATCTAATGCACAAATCCAGGATATAGCTAATATATTATGTTGTTGTCGCTTCCATTTGATATAAAGTCATTTGAGGTTTTTCATTTTCATCACAAGATGATTTGTAAGCTGTTGTGCGCTGTCAGATAAGTGAATGGCTATTAAACATCTTGTCAAGCTCCATGACAACATGAAACATTTGCATCAATCTTTCATCATGATCTACTCCCTTCACCGACCCAGGGCAGAAAATATATGTAAAGTTGAAAGGTTTAGAATAACCATGACGGGGTCTAACTCTCTCTAGATAACAAATTTACACTGGAATATAGTTCTCCATTACAGGTTCACTCTGCAACAAAAAGGATTTCCTTGTGGTCGCAGTTGAAAATCCCACTCCGGTCGCTCTGAGATTTCTTTTAAACTGTATAGCAGGTAGCTATAAATAAATCATGTCTGGACGCTGTAGTCTAAACGCAAAGCGAGGTATCATAATTATCATAGATCAAAAGCTGATGACATTACAGCGTTAGACCGGTCCTATCCCATGTCAGTTCCGCGGCTGCCCATCTTTACGTTGTTTCATTATTGAGTTATGGCATGCATAATTTAACACGGACAGATATGGATCCATCCGTTGAGAGTGTGGAAAGAACAGAAGGATTGAGAGTGGAGTGGGCAGAGGGAAAACAGGAGATAGTATACACATCTCTCAAAGAGGAAAAGGAAGCGATACTTCTCTTTTTAATCGCATATGAAATTTCACCTACACATCTTTCTTGTTGAAAAAGTTTGTATGATTATTAAAGAGAATAATTCTGCTTGTGACTTTGATTGTGTGTAGGTTTGCAGCCGTACACAGAGTACACCTTTGTGCTGGTGGCCTGTACAGCGGTGGGATGTGGAGCCAGCTCACCTTCCACAGGACGCACCCTTCAGGATGTCCCCGCTGGTGAGCGCGCCCTCACAATCAAAGCCTTTACGCCCCTTTATTCCTATTACACAATATCTTTCACCTTCTGTCACTGTGGCTCAGATAGAGTACTGAGATTTAATTTAAAAAAATGTTTACTCTTTTTATTTGTTTTGATAATTTAACATATCACATTTTTCTCATTTACATTCAATTATTCAAGAAAAATTATGAACACTAAAGCAAATTATTGTTTATTGTGTTTGAAGTGGTTTATTATACTTTACTTTATTGTTAATATCAGTATGATCATTTAAAATACAATTATAAATGAAGTAATACAGATACATACCCCAACCGTTTCGACCATCATTTTGAATATTATTCAGCTTACCTTCTGCATATGTGCCTGCAGGAGTTTGGTTGAGGCCCAGACATGTGATAATAAACACATCAGCGGTGGAGCTGTACTGGGACCAGCCGGCCCGGCCTAATGGACTCATCTCCCAGTACACTCTCAACAGAGACGGTAACACCATTTTTACCGGAGGCCAGCGTGACCAGAATTTCACTGACACTGGACTCGTGCCAAACCACAGGTAGAGTGTGCACTCTCTTCTCCACATATGTGCGTATGCAAGTCACATGTATAAACACACTTGACTTGTAGCTTCATAATTAATCATCTCTGTAATTCCAGGTTTTCCTAAGGAGCATGAGCGTTTGTTGTTTTAAAGGCTGTTCCCTCTTCCCAAGGGCCCACTGTCTATATGTCTATTTGTGCTATTTAATGAGCAAATATTTGCCTGTTGAGTGAAACAAACATAACCTGGCACATTTGTACTCGCACTGAAATTCAAATGGGGCTTAGGCTTTCAGACGACTCTGAGTGTTTTTTTATCTGATTATTTTAACCTAACCTTTGCAAATCCCTGTTTTATGCAAACATATGTGGGGATATGTGTATTCATTGTACTTATACGTGTTCTATCGGCTCTTCCCCCTCATTGTCTGTTCTTTCTTAAGACAAATTCCCCTAAAAATAGAATTAAGTAGAACAACCGGCAGTTGTGCTTTTGTCTGTATTAAAGACAGGAGTCGATCATTTTATATCTGTACAAATGAAATTTAATTTTTACTAATTCCAGAAGCCAGGAGGTATCCTCTCCTGACCTCTTCACTCATCACTTCTCTCTCGTTCAGTCTTCCCTTTCACCCTCATTCCTTTAGCCCTTTCCTTCTTTTCCCAATTTAGTCCTGGGCGAGAATTACACCGGGAGTGCTGCCCCCCTTATCCCATCTGATTTGTGTGTATTTTAGCCCGCGTGGGAGAGAGCATGTGTGTGTGTGTGATGTGTGCGCGTATGATGTGAAGATGTGCGTGTGCTCTCGAGACTGTTTAAAGTGGCCATTGATTATTTATGACAATGTTGATTAGCTGTCACTTTGCGTCGCCAGTCCAGGAAGTGTCTAAGATGACGAGAGAATTAACCTATTCCCTTTGGCTGCCCTCGCACAGCAGGACACATACACACAGGCATATTCCCACACATGCAATTCTCCTGACTTTACCTCAAATCATTTACTTTACATTCCATAAGACATAAAAAAACAGTCCTGCGGTCACATCTTTCAAGTTTTAAGATTGAAGATTTGTCTCCCAAAACTGTACATTGATCCTCCATTCCACCTGAATATGAACTATATTTATTGTCACTCCCGTACACTAAAATAAATAAATAAATAAAACTAAATGTTTTAAACACCTCTCCCTACTGGATCATTGTGCTGCTAATAGCTTTCTGTTTTAAATACTCAGCACAGAACAATAACCCATGGACAATTAATGTACGTGCGCTGAAGTTTATAGTGAATTAAAGGCTTTTAATGTTAAATGGTGCTCCACTTACACCGATAACGTAGTTTTAGCACGCGACTGCCATGATCTCTTAAAAGCGGAATCTATCTTATGATGTCATGCAATAAGATAGATCTAAAATAGCACAGAGCCAGATGGTAAAAATGTCCATGGTAACAACGCAACACAGAAAATAGTTAATTTGTATTAGTTATTGGGATAGTTTTATGTTGAAAAAATGTTAATATTTTGACCTTTACCTCTGTCCAGGTATGAGTATGAGTTGGAAGCCACTACTGAGGGAGGGGCGAGTCAGAGTGACAGATATGTTATCAAGACCCCCGTCACATCCCCCACTGGGATCTCTGCACCCCACATTCTGACAGTTTCAAGCCCCCGCTCCATCTCCCTTACTTGGACCCCTCCTGGTAAGTAGTGAGTGGTCCAGAAGGTGCTGTTTTACTGATCATTTAGATCAATTGCATTTGAAGTGCCGTGCAGTTTACTGTACGCGATGACTTTTGGGTGACCTTTTCTGTTTAAGATATACTGTGCAATTGCATGCAGATGCCTCCATGGAGATGTTATTTTTGCTTTGTTTGATTTTTGTCTGTCTTCATTGAGTGTGTTTCCAAAGCATTAGCGTAGGGAGTACATGAAAAACTAGTTTGATGCCATACTGAGGAACATTCAAGGTAAAGTCATACATGTGCCCATGGAAGCAAGAAAATACATCATGCACCTTAAAGGTATTTAGGGAAATGTTTCTCTCAATAAAAAAATGAATATGTCCAAAAATAATTTGTTTTTTCACTGTCAATCATTGTGCTCAGCCCCAATCACAGCGCCCCCTTTTTCCGTGCTATCACACGGTCGGCCAAACATCTGCAGCAAATGACTGAGTCTGGTGAGCAGTTAACGTCTGTTCTTTGTGATTTCCGCAAAAATAGAAGAGCTTCAAATGCAAAGTCATTGCAAAGATGTGAAAGGTCGTAGAGGACCCACTAGGCAAAAGACAGGAGAGGATCAAAACCAAGACCTTCTGGTCAAATCTTTCTAAACGCCTTTAAATAATAAATAATACATTGCCAATAATCAAGTTTTTTCAATACTCAACAATGACTTTAATTAATTGCTGTTATTTAACACGCACACATAGAAAGTAATTGCATAGAAAATATTAGGCATTGTTTAAATGATCTGTTCTAGAAAAAAAGTCTATTAGAATGTCCTCTGTTTATTTTACTTCAGCTTCATCTCGGTCAAACTTGGATCAAATATTATTGCATCTGGATTCTAAACTCTCAATCTATGAACAGACAAAATCTATGAACACACAAAATAACTGCTAGATTAATTTGTTATCAAAATAATGGTTAGATACAGCACTAGTGGTTTTAATTTTCAAAATCAACATTGCTGTCAAAACCTTGGCATTTTGAGCATACAGTGTTGAGCTTTGTCCTAAGTAGCTATGAAACATTCGTTTCGTGCTTTAGAGTCATTATTTTTCCTGCTTTTTTCTAGCTGTAAATTTTACTGCAGTAGTGTTCATGGTTTTACACGGTCCAAACCAAGCAGATCAAGTGTAAAGGAGGAACTGTTTTTTTTTTTCATGTTAATAAAGCATACAGAATTTTACTCTGAACCAGAGCAGAGAAAATGCTCTGAACCGATTGTAACCGGGGAGAGCCAAATTGAACAGTGTTTTATCATACACAGGTAAGGATGCAGTGAAAAGTTAAAAAGAGACACATGCCATGAAAGTTTTAAAAGGTTTATTTTTAATTTACTAAAGGGAAAAAAAAGTACGTTAATAGAAATGTATGAAAAATTTATGTTTATTTTAGGCTATGTTAAAATGCTAGTTTTAATAAATAGCAGTGGTTAATTTGAACAAAAGCTTTTAAGAGTGGCCAGGACTAGTCGGCCGCAGGTGCACGCGGTCAGAGGGCAAATATGTAAATGGGACAGAGTACACACTACACACCATGCAGTCACACACACACACACACACACACACACACACACGCACAAACGCAAAACCAAATCTAGGATAACTAAAACATGCAGTGATGGTGAGTGCAAAAATACCACAGCACACGAGGGGAGTGATGGTGCAGCAGTGAGAAACTCTATCACCAAACCTCCACCAGGCGGGCATTCACGCTCGAACCAGTCCTGGAACACAGGGAGAACAGTGTCAAGTACAGTATACAGGTCAAAGTAAATACCCAAAAAGAGAGAATTAGCTCAAAATCAAATGTAAGGGGTACAGACTCGTCCACGCAGTACCTGACTAAATAACAACCCTAGCATTAGACCCAAATAAAAACGACATGTAGCCTGCTGACTCTACAAAAGAAACAAACAAATTAATATTCTACAGGTCTGCTGTGACCTGTCCTGCTCCACCTAGCAGCTACACCACCTCTGATGCTGGAACATTAAGTTCTGTTGCATTACTATTGTCAGTAACTTTTAGAATTATGTTTTTATTTGGTTGTGTAGATGGATGTGATTTTGCTACTGGACACCTGAATTTCTCCCACGGGGATCAATAAAGTATCTATCTATCTATCTACAAACAGCAAGCCCTACTGCAACTATTGACTGCATAAGGTTGTTTTTCTTTTCTCTCAAAGAAGATGGGAATAAAATGTGTGGGGTCAGGTTGAAACAAAGCCCTCAGTAGTTTTCGGCTCACCTTCTGCCCCTGGATACCTGGATCTGTGCATACATACGCATATATGAGCAAGGCCTCAGACTGGAGTTCATGCTTATGGGGCAGTGATTGTCTGCCCTAACCCATCTATCAGTGACTATTACCCTCTCATTAGACTGATTTCCTATCTCAGAAACCACTTACAGAGCCAACTACCACAGACACCTCACTTTGTTGCATGTGCGGTTGTGTGTCTGTATATTTATGCATGCATTTTGAAATGTGTGTGTATGGCCGTGTGGGTGCATGTGTGGATGTCATTGTGAAGATATTTCCATAGGCAGGTCTATTCTATTGTCATTATGAGCTGATTTAAAAGGTGAGGAAATATCGGCTGGGTTCTCATGCTTGGTTAACTCCCTGAGCCCAGAGTCTGGAGTGTTTCAGACTTTGTGTGTGTATGTTGTGTGGCTCAGCATTCGTGTGCTCCTGTATACTTTATGCATATGATGAATCACTTATGTCTTGCAGTATTAATATGACACATTTAATCCTCTTTTTATGAAGTTTTGGTTTCTGTCATCAGTTTTAAAGCATACTTTCTCCACACATACAAAATATCCATGACCACATGCATGCCTTGAAACGGATAATGGCAGACCCTTTCAGCCATCATAAATATTTTCTACATTAGTGCTTAATAAAGAAAATGGATTCGATATTTTTGGAACAATTAAACAATTGTCTAAAACAACATTGTTCGGCAAAACTGAACCTGTGTAGGACTGGACTGATTCATTACATAACTAACTACAAAGACAAACTGGCCCAAAGACAAATAGAAACCAAGGGGAGATGTGGACTATATCTTTTAAAATGAACATTAATATTACTTGATCCGATTGAAGAGCCTGATTTGGCCTCCAATCTGCTAGTCGAATTTGCCTGCTATAGATTAAGATTTTAAGTTTATCTTGGGAGAACAAACCAAAAATATGCATTGTTCAGCAATGTACTACTGTGGTGGCAAAGTGTACAGGCCACCCCAGTGTGCAGGTTGAAGGATGGGTCATTGTAATGGACAACTTTCCATTACAAAATGCAAATGTAATATACATTGTCTAAAAAGCCAATGAATCATTATGAATTGAGGCTGCATCATTGATTTATAATAACTTATTGAATGTATCATATAGACCACAGGTGTCAAAGTCAAGGCCCGGGGGCCAGACCATTTCCAGTGGCCCTTGAGATGATTTTGAATCATTATATGAAATAGCAGCATAAATGGTATTAGGCGACAATGGCATGTTATCCATTACGAAGAAAACAACCATAAGATTTAAATTAATCCCATGGAAATAAAGGATTTCCTAATTTTCTTAGGAAAGAACCGCCCTCTCCCCTTTTTGAACAAATCTCTCTGGTCTTATTTGACGAGCACGAATCACCAGAATGATTGACAATTGGGAGGAGCAATAATCTTGATGATCCACTCAAAAGTATAAAATCTTCCGATATACCTTCAATATTTGGTCCAGTTTTGGTTCAGTCCACAGAAACTGAACTAATTCTAATCAGAATAGAATATCCAATCTAACTAATGTGAAACAAGGCATGTATTTAGGTACCTTCATATTCCCAAAAAAATGTATAAATTAAACCCACTTATTTTTTCGGCCCCTGACCAGATTTTTCTTTTTTTATTCGGCCCTCAACCAAAATAAGTTTGACACCCCTGATATAGACCATGCGCTTGGAGAGCCCATATCCCACCATCACCATGGATCTCCCAGATATAACTCGAAATCAGTATTAGTTACTTTTTAACACAAACTGATTCACCTTCAATTTGTTGTTTTGGCTAACAAAAAGTAACACAGTGATCAAGAGGTATACAAATACTCAAAGTTAAAGTTAAATCCTCCTCAAGAAATTGCTACATGCTGAGATAAGTCAATTCTGGAAAGTTAATGGGAAATGTGTAAATATATTAACAATCTTGTCTAATAATACAACACGTCATTTCTTAATGCTTAGGTAAAATCCCAATATTCTTCACAATTAATTGATTAATCATCAAAATAACGGCTATACTGAAAGACTGATATAAGAATGTTGGTATTTAAAAAAAAAAAAGTAACAATTAACAATTGTAAACCGCTTTGAGACTCAGATCTGCAGTGAAAAGGCAGTATATAAATAAAGATTACTACTTACTACTTATACACTAATTAGTTTTGCTGAAAAACATGTCACAGAAATACTGCTTCATATTTTGGTGGTTTCTATATAAATTCCTTATATCTCAGACTTTGTGTGTGTTGAAAGCTGAATGATGTCACAGATGCAAAAGTATTGTGCATATCTGAGTCAGGGTGAATAATTGAAGTCTTTCATTTGTCGGGTAATCAGTTCCTTTCCCAGAGTTCATGAATGTTGAATAACCCATCACAATACAGTTGGCCTGAATTATAGAATAATCTCCCCAGAGAATATTAACAAACCCTGATTGTGTGTGCAGCTGAGAGGTTGTTACATAGGTGCATTTACATTAATCTAGTGAAACCGAGAGGTCTAACGGAGAGTTTGCTTACTAACTTATGAGTCGTGGAAACTCTAACTGACAGTTTAGCTTTTATATTATATGTAAGCTAAAAAAAAACAATATATCTTCATAAATGCTTACAGTTGTATTCAACTTCACTTTTTATGTATGCAACATGTGGAATAAATCTACCCAGAAGCATATTGAGTTAGTCACAGATTCTAAGCAATAAACGAATAACATGTGGAAGACTGATTATTGGAAGGATGGTGTTCATTTAAAGTGATGTCACCTGAAATCTCAAAGCTAGGCTAAACAGCCTTCAAGTTTTCCCTTTTTTTCAGTTCAGTTAAATACTGGTTATTTCTATCACATTAGTCTAACAAATAGTGTTATAAGTAGTTTCATAATCTCATGCCACACATTCTGCAACAAAAAAAAGGAAAATGAGAAACAAATAAAACCTTGGTGGACTTTTGTGGAACTGATACATTTCTAAGATTTTCAAATGCAATAGTTGTATTTTGGTCTTTGTTCAAGCGCAGTAGAATTTGTTTGTCGAAAGTGTGAAATAGCATATTTAGTGAACTAATGCTTTTCATTTGTGTTACATGTCTATTTAAAAATGAAGATAATTACTGAATACTTATTACTTATATACTTCAAGCATCGATAATATGTGTTGTTCTCTATCTTTATCCTTTTCAGCTTATCTGAACAGTGACCAGGCTGTGAACTACTCTATCATCCTAAATTCAGACGGAAAAGTCTCAATGTTTCCTGCTGGTGTCGACTTCCAAGTAAATATCACAGATTTAGAACCCTTTACAACATACTACATCAGAGTGCAAGCGTGTCAGGATGGTAAGATTTCAAATTATATTTTGTCAAAGCGTTGTGCACTATTTATATGACAATATTTTATTCAGATGGATGTGGCGTTGGCGATGGTGTTTTTGCTGAGACTTTGGAGGCTGCTCCTGAAGACTTGATGCCGCCCACAATCTACGCCGTTGGACCCAATGTCTTAGAGGTTCACTGGCTTCCTCCCCAGCGGCCGAATGGACCAATCACTTCTTACCACATATACAGGTGCATCCATTTTTTTCACCATATGTATCTCTTATTATCCCACCAAATTAGAAAAAAAAAAAACGTTTTCATTTATTTACAAAAGAGGAGTATGATTAGTCAGTCCCATTGCTCCAGGCAGGGCCTCAGAACGCTCTGGTTTTGTGCAGAAAATCCATTTTAGTAAGTTTTATATTAATATTGATGAAAAAATGTAAACCTTTGATCTGTGACATAGTTCAATAGCTCCTACCTTGAAAAAGCAAGTCCTCTTTAAAACAAAGTTTGTGTTTGTATTAGCTGAGATGCAGTGGGAATGGGGTTGTCTAGGTGTGCACTTGTGTGTAATAATTCATGCTGAAGGTCGTGGTCGGCTTGTTGACCAAAGAGTGTGTGATCTGTATGCAGGGTCAGACTAGACTAAGCCCTTTAAGTCCTGAGGAAACACACATTAGCATAGCTCAACACACACTCACTGACACACCTGGCATGACCAGACCCATGAAGACAGGGTCTTAGGTAAAATGTGAGTCTCTCTCAAACACAGCACATAAAAGAGGCCACAAGCGGAGACACCGGAGCTTACCAAGACATCCAGATACTTGCATCACCCGAAGATGTGAAAGACGTGATCGCACATGCTTTATTTCAATTCAACACAGAAAGATGTCCTCCTTTCTGTTGACCAAGTTAATCTTAAACTGAGCTTGAATAATGCGATAGGATGTAACATGTTTGATTCTAGGCGTCCGCATCAAACCACACACAACCTGCTGGTGTTCATTTGGACCAGCGGAGCTCTTGAGTTTGTTGATGCCAGTCCCTCCCTACGGCCCTTCAGCTACTACCAGTACAGAGTTCAGGCCCTCAACTCTAAAGGCTCTGCTCTCAGTCACTGGGCTCTCGCTCAGACCCTGCAGGCACAGCCACAGAACATGGCTGCACCCACAGTTGCTCCTACTGGTGAGTTTCCTAGGTCACATGACAAAGTGTTGCTGGAGGGTAGAAATCATAGTTAATGGTTCCACTATAACTGTGCGCTTGTTTATTTTGCGCTTTGACAGGTGCTTACTCAGTTCATCTGAAATGGAGTGAGCCGGAACAGCCCAATGGTCGCATTTCTCATTACAGGCTGGTTTACAAGAAGCACCAACAGGACCCTACGCTCAACTCCACTGCTGTTATTGCTCTTACAGTAGAGGTACTTTCACAATGCACAGAACGCAGATTTTAATCTAAATGCATGAGTTACTAATGCAGAGTTAGCATGCTCAATCATACAGCATAAGTTGCAAAAAAAAACAAAAAACATTATAATAACAATATTAAGGTTTTTGCAAGTTAACATCAACATTTTTGTACTTCTTTACTCATATAATATACAGTATGATTTCAGTATGTGTCCCTGAAGCCGAGAGCCATCTGTTTTCCAGTCAGGGGCCTGAAGTCACCCATAAACAGGAATATGATCACACAGGGCGACATGCTCACAGGTGTATGGCATCGTGCAGTGAGATAGTTGGATCTGCTGTTGAGTCTTTGAGAGCAGCTTTGGGGAGAACAGTAGGTCCACAGAGCTGCCAACTCATATTTAGATAGTATGAGACAGTTTGTGTATGTTATGGTGGTATGGGGTAGTCTCAGTGCCACTTAATATGGGGAACAATGACAAATATTGTGGGAAGAGTCTGAAAAGAGAATACATTTTACTCCATAGAAACCAGATCATTTCTAATAGTACTTAAACAAGTACACTCGGCTAAATATTTCATTTGCGGTGAAGTATATCTTAGTAATCAGAAACAGATAAAGTAACAACTGTTGATTGAATGAACCCATTAACACATACATATACATATGGAAAGGAGATATTACATTGATAAGAATAAAGACACTCATCGAGATAAGCAATGGTAGCGATTGGACGACGTCAGGGTGATAGATTGGGGAACGAGAGCACAAAATAAAAGGAGAAGAGAGCTTGTATAGATCTATATTCTGTCCATACAAGTGGCCTCCTCTGCCTCGGTGACCTTTGGCTTGTCACTCATAATTAATACAGGATGTAAATGGAGACCTTTCACCTTCTCATTGATATGGAACACTTAGTGTTTGTAGCCGCCTGCATTTGTGTGTGTATGTGTGCTTAGAGGAGCTCATTGATATGGCATAGACTTATTTTGTGGCGGTCATTTGTCACACCGTAGCCTTTATCAGATAAGCTCATTGGTCAAAGTGGAAATTAGTGCAGTACTGAAAGCATATTGTAGTGTTTGGATGACCTGGTCTCGTCTATTCAGTTTTCAAACAAGATCTTAAATGTTTTTTTGACTGTTGCCGTTATAAATATCACCTGTTATGTTTCTTAATTTTTTTATACTGCAGTTGGAAGAAGATGTTTTGTTGTGTGCTCGTGTGTCCATTTGGTGTTTGTATATTGATCTCAGGCTGGGCTGGGAACGCTGCTCTGTGCCAGCTTGTCTGATTAATGGGGTCGTCATGGCAATCGGACGGAATGAGGGTACGGAGCGCAGGCGGCCTGCCGCACAGCGCTCTGTGCACAGCCTGGCACAAGCTCCCCCCTCCCTTCTCCCCACGTACACCTCAAAGCCCCACAGCCCCCTCGCTCAACCCAAGACCCTCCTCTCACTTATCCCCTGTGGTCTGTAACCCACTGCCCCTGTACTCTCCATGAGGCCGTCTGTTCCGACCAAAGCACACACACTTTCATCTCTGTGGTCTGCAGTTATGTCTTCCGTTATGCTTCATTTCAATTGTGTTAGTGTCTACTTGTGCATTTTATTAAATCAATGTAGTATGATCATATATTTGGTTCCCACTGCTCTACTTGCTCTTTATTAGCAAGTTGCCCCTAACACACAACTCAAACAAGCAACATTATCTCTGTTAGATTAACTCCATTTTTAATGTTTTCTAGTTATTATTCTCTTCTCCCTTGTGCCTTTAGTTGATGTCTTTGTTGCCGGCTCTATCTTTTTTCATTGCTGCTCCACTCCCCCATCCTGCTACCTCTCTTCCCCCTCTCCCTGTCCTTCCTTCTCCCCCTTGGCTTTTCCAGATGTTACAGAGTGGCCCTTGGGATCAGCAGTGCATTTGTGCATGAGTGTGTGCGTGCACGTGGGCATTAGTCGGTGGCAATACACGTGTCTAAATATGGTCGGGCCTATGGTGTGCACGGCTAACATATTTAGTTTCTGACCATGTGCAACAGTATGTGTATGGATGTGTGCTGTATTAATACATCCCATTGATCAGAGCAGGACCCCTGACAGTCATCATGCCTGAGAACCATCTGGCCAATGCCTGACGCTCTCTCACCCAAACACAAGCTGACACCCGATTAATCTGCCCGCGCCATGCATACATACATGTGTGTCTGCATGTGAACCACTGAATTTGTGATCGCAGGTGAAAGGAAGAGAACCTAATGTGTATGAAGGAGCTGTTGTATGTTTTTCTTTTTTTTGCTTTTTACCACATCGGTTCAAGTGTTTGTGTATGTACACGCTCACCAACCCAAACCACGCATACACCACTTTGCCATCCGCCAACAACAGCCGGCACTGAAGGGAGCTGAAGGGTGCTTGGAAATTAAGGTTATTACACAAATTGAGCCATATGGTCTAAATATTTCAGAGCTGAAATTTACTAGGCAATAAAAATGGCCCCTACCTCGGTAATGGTGTAAATTACAGCTTAACCACCAGCGCTAATGATGTCCTTCTGTACGCCCCGTAACCAACCGTACATGAAGGACACATTGTTTAAAAAATACCCCAGGAATAGCAAAAGTCGGAAGGAGGGAGGAAAAAGAGGGATGGCATAGATCGGGAGGGATAGGTGGTGCAAACGGAGGAAAAGGCTAGTATAATCCGTTACAGTAAATTAAAACAATAATGATCAAAAAAATTTAAATAAAATACTGCCACATATTTACAATCTATCAGTTTAGCACTTATAAGAGGAAAATAGAATGCGGCACTCAAGCAAACCTCGTGTCGTGGTATAGTGAAATGTGGCTGCATTCTTATTCATGCTTTCAGATGCTAGTGCCGTCTGAGAGGACGTCATTTGTTTTAGACCAAAATAGGTGAGGAGCGTGAGGATTGCAAAAAAATGATGCAAAAGATGAACAATGCATTTTGGGGCTTTTTGATTTATATGTAGGTGTCTGTAACTGATTGGATGGTTCTTGATTTCTTGCATAAACAGCAACACAATCAGACCGCACGACCCCCTCTTTATTTTGCTCTCCACTTTCCCCTCCTCTGATTATTCTGCTCATTCCTGTCTAACAGCTGCATTGCCCATTTATCTATCCATTACTTCAGTTCATGGTTGGCTCTACACTATCGTAGGAGGTCCTTATGCTATTCATCCCATGTCCGTTCACACCCTCCTCTTCCTCTTAGACATGATTTTCTTTGAGTTTGGCTGCTCCGTCTTTTGGTCCAGCTCTCTTGCTCCGTAATGACAGGGTTGTGTTGTATTGACTGAGCAGTAGTCGCACCATCTCTTCTTCTAGGGCCTTCCACTTGTCTTAATGGGTATTTAGTGCAGTGGCCATGATATGATGGTCCCCTCTTCACCAGCAAGGCTAAGGGTGTTTGAGAGTGCATATAGAAGAGAAACTATGATGACTCGCCTATTCAGATTCTCATATTAAGTGTGTGTCAAGAGTTTATTTTGGAAGCAATGCAGTTGTGATAGTACCAAGAGTCGCTGGCAGCCACTTCTGCAGAGTTTACTGTCTTTAGCAATGCCCCTTGGAGTTGGTTTGCTTGTCTATCTATCACAAAGTCATTGTGCAGTTCAAGGATAGGGTTATTATACACAATAACATACAATACGTTTTGAATTGGACATAACATTATGAAACCTACTGAACACAATGGAAGAGGACATAGCCACTTAGACCCAATAATTCATTGTTGTTTATGATACTTTTTTATTGATATTTTACTATTGATTCATATTTTAACTTTTGAAGCTCAAAAACAAAGGTACACACAAATTAGGTTTGATTGATCCTGGGGTGTAGAGCCCCCAGCTAATCCTCGCTGTCAATGTGAGGTGTGTGAGCCTAGTCTGGACCCATGTTGACTCAACTCTCTTCTGCTCGAGCCGCAGACAAAGCACATGCCTAATAGCACCACTGTGTCGCACTAATGTTGGACGTGTCAGGGATGGTCTGAACCACACTGACTAGCAGGGACACCCATGCAGGGCATTCACAAACAGATCCAGGGCATTTGTTCCGGCAGCATTGAATTAGGCCTGCACATATAAATAAGTCTACACACACACGCACACACACACACACACACACAGTTGGCCCAAGAGCTTGGCATGGGGCGCACGAGACCAGCATGTGCTGTAGTGACTCACCTCAGATACACAAAACAATTACTGCTCTCACAGGGCTGGTCAGGGCACAGCTTGTACTAATAGATCCAAACAAAGAATTCAGTTGAGTAAACAAGAATAAATTAGGGGGAAAAAATGGGTAAATTGAATAAAACTTAAAACAAGCGCAAGACCCAAGAATAGGAAAAACAGCATGGGCTTTATTATCTCCCCAGGACTTAATACAGTGCAGAAGAACCACAGAAGGAGAGGAATGTGTTCGGTTAACATTAACTATGGCTCTTTCATGTCTGTCTTACTTAACTTTTACCTGTGACAGACCAAAAGAAAAAGGCGAGCAAGCCATATGCTAATGGTTCTCCATGTCCGTCTCTATCCCCCCTCCGCGCCTAGGGCCTTCGCCACATAATCAGCATAATTCTTTTGACAAATACACATGGTTATTCTTAATTAGTATCACACAACTGTCCCCCCGGCCGCTCTGTGCCTTTCCACCTGAACATCAGATTTTAACACAGCCACCTCACAGGGTGACAAAACAATGCAGATGAAAAGTGCTCTCAAAAACACACAAAAGGTATGTACAGTGGGTGTTAAGTATTTATGAAACACAAATTGACCCTCTGAAGGCTGTAATTGTGCTGAACTGCAGACGGTGGTATGCGCTCACACTCAACAAAGGGAATGTGGAAATAAAAGATTGAATAGATTGCTTTCTTGCCCCCCGTGCTAAGTTGTGTTGAATCGTGTAAGATCTAAGGACTCTTTAATGTATAAATTAGCAAGAGCTCTCCCTGTCTTCTGTGTTCTTTTCTCCGATCATTGTCCAGTCTTGTTTGTACATCTCTCCCCTCCCTCTCCCTGCTCCCGGACTGCTCTTTTTCATTTGTGGTGATGAATTGGTAACTTTGATCATCCGCACACACGCTCAAGCACATCGGATTTAGGTGGACAGAAAGCTCTTGGAGATTCTACATTGTGGCAAATCATGTCGGCTTCATAGCTTTGCATATTTCCTTTGAAAAGACCCCCAAAAATAGATTTGATGATCTGAACTACATAGCTCTAAATTTGCAATTGTGGCTGTACGAAAATGTGGCTGTAAAATAAAATGTGCACATGAATGCTTTCCATTCCATTACATAAAGTTAAATTGAATAGTGGATGAGTATTATTGTTTGGGTTGTATTGTACACACCTCAAATTGTGTGTATTTCTTCTTGATTTTCATTCCTTTGACTTTAAAGTACCCTTTTATGTTAAGGCCCTGCACGAACGCATGTGTAATGTACAGTATACAGGCCACAGTTATTGAGGGAGCTATTAATTGCACGTTATGGCAGTGTACTTGTGATTACTGGCTGTTTGCATGTTTTTTATTTAATAGATGGGTGTGTGTACGTGTGTTTATGTGTGTGCGAGGTGGCCAGGCCGCTGTGTGAGTAGGGATCTGCGCTGAGGCCGTTACAGCACTGTGCCTCTGTGATAAAGTCTTTGAATGTATTGCCATCTAGAGGCGTGTTGCTGAGTCTCCACGCTCCAATAAAAGGTGCCAGCGCCAGATGCTGCTATTGACAATGTGCATATGTTAACCGTTTTATAGGCCACATGCCTCACATATTTCACTGGCTTTTAAGGTAGAGAGATCTCTCATTTTCGCTCACTTAATCTGTCTCTCCCCCTAGCAACATCTATCTTTTTTCCTCTCCCAGTTGCAGTTTTTTTGTCTTTGGCCCAGTATCCTCGATTTCTTTGTTACTGTGAGTGAGTTTGAGTTGGATGACATTTTCTTTTCGCGTTTTATTTTGGGTGAACTTTTATGGACTGGCGAAGTGGGGTTCAATTTGCATGATTAAAATATATTTTAGTTTTTTTTTATTTGGGATGCTCTTCCTGTCTCATTCATGTCCATTGATCAGGATTTTTGACATCAATTTCATTATGCCCTATGACGCTCAGTGACCTGACATGATTACATCCAAATGCATTTATTCTGGTTGATATAATCAAAAAGAGAACACAAACTTAACATTATTATTTACATTAAAAAAGAGATTTTTAACCTAATTTTTACTCTTTTTTTTCTGTGTCTTGCATAGTTCCTCGCTCTCGGTGCTGGTGGAAGTGCTGTGATTTACGGGAGGATTTAGCTTCTGTCTAGGTGTCTTGGGGCTTATTAATCCTATTTTATTGTAGCTGAAAACATGTTGGCTTGCAGACATGAGAACAGTGAATACACACAGTATGGCTTGTTGTGCCGACGGTTCATCCTCAGTGCCAGGCTACGGTGATTTGTCAGGGTTTTTCATTTGATTTAGTTTTGAATTGGATACTTTTTGATCCTCTTGCTGCTGCATTGAGTGGGAAACCAGCTAATCTCTTTACATACGCTTGTTTATGTGGAGTATTTTGGAAAAACTGCAGACTCAACAAATGAGAAAAAAGGTCTCCCCCAAATGCATCAAACTGGTGCTTGCACTGAAGCTATTTGGCATCAACAAACGCAGTACATCCTTGAGCTTGATGCGTCTTCCATGTCATCCGATGCCAGAGCCTTTTGAACAGTTTCTCTTATCAATTAGTAAATGGTGGTGAACCGGGTGCACATGGTAACAGCGTGTGCCAGGGCGTTGGGCCGGGTCCCAATGCCTAAAGCTACTGGCAAGGCTCACTGTGCCTTTGTCGCTGCTTGCTTGTGTTCGATATGAAAGGATGCATGTGTGACACAAACACTCAATCTGCAGGCTTTGAATTCACCCATAAGGGACAGCTGTGTGCCTGCCAGTCCCTCTCTGTCTCTGCCACTCCTCTGTGTTTACTTACTTTACCATGACAGCGCCTGTATGTTCCAATGTTGATATCACAAATCCCATGTCATGTCATCTTAGCTTTTCATTGTAACGTTGCTCTTTTCAATCCCTATTTTAATAAATGTTGCACTTATGCACGCATGGTTTGTTTGTGTGACTAATTTTCTATTATTCCTTTCATTTCGCCAAGAGATCCAAACCTTTTTTATGTAAAGCTTTATGCTTGTGCACTCTCTTGTACAGTCTCATGTTTGGGTTAAAATGTATAGCTGCTATTTAAACAATTGTGATATATGTTTATTTGTCTCCCATTAGAGTTCAACCTTGGAAGCTACAATATTTGGTCTGGATGCTTTCAGAAATTATTCGTTCCAAGTAGAAGCCATAAATGAAGCCGGTAAGTTGAAAATAAATCATTCCTCGTACAAAATAGTTTCGTTCAGGTTTCTCTAAAATAGATGCTTTTTAGATAAGTAGAAATAATGGTCATGAGGTAGAGAAGAAGAAAATGTGTTTGTATAGCACATTTCAACAACAGGTGAGACATTGTACCAAGCATAGATTCATTCAAAAGCCCACTGGAAGAACAGGTTGTACAATTGAGTCCTTTGTTTACTCTTAAAGCTCAACTTCAGAGTACACTTGAGGCCATGAGGTAGAGTATTCTATTTAGAGGGAGTACAGGGGATGAGATACATCTGATTCTCCTTCTTCCTTTTTTTCTTGGGAAACAACAAGAATGTTGTGGCCTGAGGATCTGAGTTTGCGTACAGACAGGTTCATGATGCACAAATAAACAAACCATAAATAGATACAGAGCCCTAACCCTAACCAGATTGTGAAGGACTTTCTAAACACCTAAGCATGAGGATTTGGGACTGAAGAGAAAGACAAGGTAAGATGGTACTACAACAATCTTATCTACTAGTGACAAAAAATAAAACTTTGTGAAAAATTGACAGTACTGACATAATTGTGCCTCATCCTGAATCCTTTGGCTCAAAAAGGAGGACCGGAATTGTCCTTTTTCACATTGAGTCCAATTACAATAACTTTTATGATGCTATCAAGAGTTTTAATGTATTACATTTAACGTCTGCATCCATTGGGGTTCAGAAGGGTGGTAAGCTGCTGGGCTCTAGGTTGAAGACCTTGGTCTTGTCATATGCCATAATACCTCATTTTTGTTTCTCTGCAGGCAGTGTTTTTAGTCCATGGGTGCAAACTATGACCCAGGAGGCGTCTCCAGCCGACCTGACAAACTTAACTGTGGATCACAGAGAACAAGGCAGGGCATTACTGTTGAGCTGGGATGTTCCAGGGTCTCCAAATGGCGTTATAACGGTATGATTATGATAATGGTATAACGTTAAGATCCAAATTTATTTATACTGCATATTTATATTATATATCCTGTTCTCTAAAAACTATTGCAAATATGGTATAATGTATTATATTATCTCTATATTACAGATGTACAACTTGTACAGTGAGGGTATTTTGGAGTTCAGTGGACAATCACACACATTCCTGTTTCGGCGTTTAGAGCCCTGGACAGTGTATAATCTGACTCTTGAAGCCTGTACCTCTGCAGGCTGCACACGCAGCCTTTCTCAGCCAGTCACCACTGCAGCTGCCCCTCCTGCCTTTCAGCCTCCTCCCACCCCTTTGTTTGTGGGGGCAGAACGAGTGTCACTTACCTGGGGCCCTCCGTCTGAGCCTAATGGGCCAATTGAAAAGTACATTTTACTTGGCAGAAGTCTGGATGAATTTGGGAGAGGCAGAAGTAATGATGACCTCACAGAAAGTGGCAAAGTAAGTGAAAGGTATATTGGACAGAAAACAAAACCAAAAAGCATATTTATTTTAATTTTATGTTACAGGTTTTATTCAGAGAATCTTCTCCACATGAAGCAGACACTTTCTCATACACAGTAACAGGACTGCGCCCCTGGACCCAATATGAGTTTAGTATCCAAACCCACAACCCTGCAGGTCAAACTCAAAGCCCCTGGGCAACAGTAACCACCAGACAGGCCCCGCCCCACGGCCTCGTCCCTCCCACTCTCACACACATCACAGGACGTCCCACTGAACTCATGGTGTTTTGGACAGCTCCTCTTCAGCCCAATGGGGTCCTTCAATCTTACAGAATTATTAGAAACAATATCAGTTTTGCTTTTAGTTTTGACCCGACAGTACTCAGCTACAGGGATGAAGATCTCGAGCCTTTTTCAACGTACAGGTAGAGCTTTAATTAACCATTTGTTTTACTTTTATGTTGTAACAGTTACAGTGCAAGTTTTCCCTTTTTACAGCTATGCAATAACAGCTTGTACATCAGAGGGCTGTGTCACAAGCCCTTATGAAAACATCACAACTTTAGAAGCTCCTCCATCAACAGTGGAAGCTCCCACAGTCAACAACATTTCATCCAGGTCCTTAACAGTTGACTGGAGTGTACCTCTGACACAGAACGGGGAGGTGATAGAGTTTGTGCTAAGGCTAAACGATGAGGTGGTCTTTCGAGGCACAGACCTCCAGACTCGACTGTCAGATTTGGAGCCGCACACGTTCTATCAGTTAGCTTTGGAGGCCTGTACCAGTGGTGGATGCACAACAAGTGCGAGTATCTCTGCACTGACGGATGAGGCCCCTCCCACCGGCCTTTCTCCCCCTTTACTTAAGGTATTTCTTCTTGAATGGATATCAGATAAATCAGTGTATAACACTTTTAAAAACACATGTTTGGAATGTATTTACAATAGTATATTTTCCTAGGTGACAGGTCCAGACTCAATTGAGATCAGTTGGACAGCCCCAGAGCATCCTCACGGCATCATCACAGGATATGAGCTACGGCGTGATGGTGAAATAGTTTACATCGGCATGGAGACACATTACCACGACTTTACACTTTTGCCCCATGTGGAGTACAGCTACGTTATCACAGCCAAAAACACAAAAGGAGAAGTGAGCAGTGCAGAAGCCATCACCAAAACACATCAGTCTGCTCCTTCTGGTGTTGGCCTTCCTTCTCTTACCCCTATTGGACCTGATCAGGTAAACGACTGCTGACTGCTACAAGTAAATAGTTGTTGTTGTTATTATTATTATTATATATTATAAATGTGTATTGTCTCTGCAGTTGACTGTAGAGTGGAGTGTTCCAGCTCAACCAAATGGAGAAATTGTCCGTTACATTTTGCACAAACGAGATCCGGTCCATCTAAGAGTCGTAAGCTCTGAGTTTACCCCTGGGGACAGTTCTTTTTCTGACCGACGCATCGTTCTGGATGGGTTATTTCCAAATCATAGGTCAGTCAAAGCTCCAATATTTCTTTATTAATTATTAGATATGTTCTAATATCGTAAATAGAACATTTCACTTATATTTCTGTGAAGTTCTTGAAATATAAGTGTATAAAACTGTTTCCTTTGTGTTTTTAGGTATGAGGTTAGGGTCGAGGCCTGTACCACACTGGGCTGCTCTTCCAGTGAATGGTCACCTGTGGTCACTCTTGAGGCACCTCCTTCTGGACTTTCTGCTCCGGTGTTAGAGCTGCAGCCTGATGAAGAAACTGGTTTTGAGACCACCTTTGTGCTCATCTGGTCCCCCCCTGTGCACCCACACGGGACGATCCTGCACTATGAGCTGTACAGACGCCAGGACCAGGCTGTCAGGGCAGAAGCAGCCCCTCAGATTTATAGAAACACATCCACTATGTACAGAGATAAAGGACTTCAGCCATACACAAAATATCAATACCAGGTAAATACTTAGATAACGATTAACTATTCTGTCTCTGGTCCCTGCTGTTGGGTTGGTCTGTTGGAAGAGTTTGTTTGGTCAATTACAAATATATGTATAATTTTTTGGATCATATTTCCAACAACACACACACACACACACACACACACAGGTCCAGCGAAAAATAACCTAAATTTGAACTTCTCAACATAAGACAACAAACTCATAAACAATTCATTTAAAATCTTTTATGTAGCTCACTCACACTATAACAGTGCTTTCCTTAGTTTCGTGTTTGCAGGTGGCGGACAGCTACACAATATCCTCAAAAGTCCAAGTCCACCAGTAAACTTTTAAGAACATTTAAGAAAATAGCTAAATGGTCAAATAAATCCATACAAGCTTGTAATTTCCTAATTATTACATTTATTTCATATATTCAAAGACCAGGTTTTAGAAGGCAAAATGTAAAAGTTCATATCTCAAAATGAATTCTGCCAACCTTGTTTTGTCCTTTTATGTGACAGAAATATGTTCACCTCAAGCCCGCCATGTGACACAAACAACACTGTTAAATTGTTTTCTGTAATTTGTAGCTCTAATTTCATGATGAGCCCTGTTATGACTGACAACTTAGAGGATGTGATCTGTGTTACGTGAAATACTTTACATACGTTAAGTTGTGGACACAAATCATAGCCCCGCATTATGGCTGACTAATGTAGTCACTTGTACATGGTCAGGCTGTTGACACTAGAACGCATGAGGAGTAATCAGACAGGTGTTAAATGGCGGGGTCTGTATCCATGCTGCTGTGCGCGACGCTGCTACACTAATTGACAGCCTAGCCCTTTGGAAGCAACAATAACATTAGCATTCCTGCCTGTCACACACACGAGCCCAGGCCAGAGAACCTGTGTAATTGATTGAGTTTGCTTGATTGTGGTGCAGTCTTTATTTACGAGAATCCTAATTTATGACAGGAGGAGGGAGGGAAGGAGGAGCTTTGGGAGATGACGGGCAGGCAACACCGCCATTAATCACCGGGCCCTCAGAGCACTCTACTTCCTGATTACCAGCCAACCAATCGAATTAACAGTTAGCCCCCTTGGTAACAGAGCTTGTATTGGAAAGACCTTTTAATGGTGACCGCTACATGTCCCTTGAGTGTTTGCCAATTGGGGACTGGTGCTATGTGAGCAAAGTGGGAGTGAGAGTGTGTTGAGTGCATGTTGCTAAAGGGTTCTTATAGGCAGGATAGAAGCCTGGATGGTGAATGGATGCTTTGATATCTTACTTTCTCAACCAACTTTTAACAAGTGGCGCGTCACGTGTCGTCGATCACTCAGTTTACCTTGTGCGTGTTGTTTACGTACCGCATCCCTCACGCGATTATTTATCTTTTCCATTACATCTGTTTGGCTCTAATCCTTTTCCCGTATTTCAGCTGTACACAAGGACAATAAGTCAATTCGGTTTGCACACCACAGTGAAGCGAGAGAAATCATATTAGGCTAATTACAGTGGGTCATAAGCTCCTATTGACAGCTTTATGTTTGGTTTTAATTACTACCCACTTTCACACAACTTAGCCCCTTCACCCTAAGTAGATGCGCCCGCCAAGAAGCTCTGCAGGCCTATCACAGTGCTCAAAACATCCCCGCAGTCCCACTGTCCAATAAAATGCCTTCGGGACAGTCTGGAAGTTTTTTCTGAAGTCGTTTGTTGCCATGGTGGCTCGTTGGCTGCCACAGAGAGTTAACAGGATATATTTTTATTTTGTGTCTAATAAGCCAAATGATGGCCCAATAGGAGGAGAGCGGACAAGGGAGTAGAGAGCGCAGTAAAAAGTCTGCAGATGATATAATGGCCCCGACACGAGTGGCTCTACCTTTTACCAGGAGACGAAGGGCAAGGTGATCCAAGACGACTTCAGAGATGAACTTTTGTCTTCTGCCGATGTGGCACAAAACTTCTTCATCAAACCAAAAGCCCCATGTCACGTTAAGGCTTCAGAGTAGAGAGGAAGAAGATGCTTGTTGCTGGGTAGAGATCTGTTATAGACTTTTATCATTTTGAATATGAGATGGTAAATTGTAATGTTTATAAGCAACAAGTAAGAAGGGAAAAATACGGCCATTTAATAGTCCGTATAGATTTAAAACAATTAGTCAACATTGTCAATTAGTATAGTAGTAGTAGAAGTAAAGTATACTTTTCTACCTGCTTTTACCCTCTTTGATAAAAATAGAGTTGTACCACTAAATTTAAACTATGACTCAATATTTTGTAGGAAAATTATAATATTGTGTGGGACAAATAAGGATTTTCTAATATAGAAATTGGACTTCTCATATTGTATTGGAAGTAAACATGTAAAATGCTTCATGTAATGTATTATACATTTTGTTAGATAACATATTAAGCTCATCTGGAAATTAGGATAAAAGTCAATGAATTTTCTAAAAGCATGAAAGCAATGAAGTGATGAAGTCATCCCCAATAATAGGCACTCCTATAATTTTCTGTCATCCCTCTTAAAAGGACCACAAAAATTCATGAGGATTTTCCGAAGACAAACGTCACGACTCGCAAATCCAGTACATGAGAAATATAAACTCCATTGTATTTGCTTTGGTTGATTATTGAAATGCCACAGTTTATACTCCATATACTCTGCAAAGGTGAATTCTTCAAATGTCTGCTCTTTTTTGTTGTGTCCATCCCTGTCCTCCTCCCCCATTTTCTCCTCTGCTCATCTTCTATCCTTCTTTCCCTCCCATCTCAGTCCATCTGTGCTGTCACTTAGATCAATCAGTCTGATTGATCACAGCCTAATTGACTATTATTGAGGTTAATTCAACTCTTAACACGCAGGCACACACGTGCACATGCACAAACTCAAGGCGCAGCCTCGGACACACGCTGCGCACACAAAAAGACTCTCTCCACACTGTAGGCTGGACACATCCATCTGCCTTCTGCACTACTTCTGACAGGCTACAGATGACTTACACATGCAAATCTCCACCCCGAGTGACCCTGCACCATGTACACCTTCTAATTATACCAAACACAAGCACACAAATAAGATTAGTCCGTGCATGTGCAGTGTGGATGTGAGCGCGTGAATAACTCCTTGATGAAGGTGAAAAGTAATTGTCATGCAGATATGTTGGTCTTGGGCTGCATGGTGAAAAGGTTCTGCTCTTAACGCTGATGGTTTTTTGATGGATGGTCTGGTAGATTGGCTTATATCCTTTGGTTGGTCTGGTGACAACTGGTTAATGAAGTGAACCCTTCTCTATTAAGAGTTCATAAGCTAAAGTTACTACAAAAACATATGTGTGTCAGTTTAATGAAGGATTAAAGTTGTTTTTTTATACGACAGGTGTGGGCTGTAAATTCAGCTGGTCATGCTGCCAGTCCATGGGCAAATGGACGAACAGGACCTGGTCTTCCTGAGGGTCTGCAACAACCACTCTTTATAAATGTTTTGGCCACGTCGGCTGTTGTAAAAATCCCCATTCCCACTAAACCAAATGGAATCATCAGCCTTTATAAAGTTTTCTATCAAAGCCGCGATAACTACACTTTGGTGAGATATATGTAACTATATTTATGTTAATTCGATGTGACGTTTTTAATTAACCTAGTTTAATAATGTTTTATTGTGTTTATTCCGCTCCTATAAGTTGTCAGAAGGTACATCCCAGCAGCAGACAATACACGGCTTGCATCCTTATACTCGCTATTGGGTTGGTGTCGAGGCCTGCACCTGTTTCCAGGTAATAAAGTATAAAATCATAGTTATTAAAAGTATATTTTGTTACCGTGTTGCATCTGAAATGATTCAATGAAGAATGTGTTAATAAATCTGTGTTTTCACAGTGCTGTCGCCGGGGTCCTGTGAAGGAGCTCCGCACTCTCTCTGCTGCTCCGGCCCAGCAGCCTGCGCCTCGCCTGCTCACGCTGACCTCCCGCTCTGTGCAGCTGCACTGGGACCAGCCTCTAGCTCCTAATGGAGTCATCGAGAGGTAGGGAAAATGAAATTAAGGCAAAAGTGGACAACATTTATATTATGATGTCCTTATTCAGCTGTGAGCTTCACCTGAGATCAGGCTGCCCTCAGCCTCCTCAGCCTGTGCCTCTCCTGTGTGTGGAGGGACGGATAGAAGTGTGTTATTTTGGAAAGAACTGGAGCTACAACGTGACCGGTAAAACACATTTCTTTTTCCTGCATTTACTTTTCTGTGTATCATAAGCTTTACCCTTTTAAATAATTATTATCTGTGCTTCTGTCTTACATAAATTAAAAAGGTTATCATTTGTGTAAGTTGTGTTTTCCTTTAAGGTCTAAAACCTTATTTCAACTATGAGCTGAGAGCTGTGTGTTTCAACAACATGGGTAGCACAGCTTCCAATTGGACAACAGTGACAACACTTTCTGAAGGTAAGAAAACATAAGTCCACAGAACATGTAAATACATGTAATATAATGCTGTCCCCTTCAGCCCCAGAGTACGTAGCTCCTTTCCTTGTGGGCAGTAACCTGACCACCGTGTGGCTGGACTGGTCAGAGTCCTTCTCTCTGAATGGGCTCCTGAAGGAGTTCACTGTGACTGAGAGCCGACTTAGGCTTTACGCTGGTTTTCACAGCTCCCTCCACATCCCGCTCACCTCACAGAAACGTCAGTACTCTTCATACTCTTCGTGTGGCTCTAACATGGTCATCTACGGTTCCTAACGACAATGTCCCTGTTTCTCACAGAGCTCTCTCTCCAAGTGACGTGCACCACTGACAAAGGCAGCGCCAGCTCTGCAGTAGTCAAATACAGCCCAACCTTTGGTCTAGGTACATATTGTATTTCAGTACTGCAGTACTTCTTCTCTGAACATTCATTCGAGCTCAGCCCACAAAGCTGTTACCTTTTTATGTTTGTTTATGTTTTAATCTGCCTTTTATGTTTGACTTTGATGATGAAAGTGTTGAGCTTCCTCACAGCAGAGTCAGTCATCTGCTGTTCATTCATCCTCTGTATTTACAAAACGTTTGTAAGCAGTCCATACACCTTACATTACTTTTACCTTACATATTATGGAACTCTCCAGAATCTTATAGACAGTGGACCTAATCAGTTTAAGTAAAAACAAAACATTGGACTCTTTTCATACTTTTCCTACAAAATAAAATAAATAAAATACATGTTTAATAGTATAGCTAAAATTTTCCCTCGTATTGACTAATCTTGAGTCACAATTTGATTTTTAAAATTAAATACCAAGTATTTATTAATAATGTTTTGTTTTACAAGTAAGACGTGAGCTGAAATTCTTCTCCTTATTCAACTGCAGGCTGTACAGGCCTCTCCTCCAACGCACACGACCTGTGCTTCATTTCTGACATTAAATACAAAAAAAATTACTGATATGGAGAAAACGCTATTTTTAAGGCTAGTCCTGTTGAACTGTGATCATATTTACTCTAATCACAGTGAAAGGTGAGAGTAAGAGTGAGTTAGGTTTTTAGTTTAGTAAAGTTATTTGAATACATTTTATTTGAAATACAAGGATATATATATTGTGTTATAGTGTTGTTATTCCAGGTCTCAGTATGTGACTAACAAAAAGCTGCCCATCTATTCATTGAAAACCAGCCAAAGACATTTGACAGTATCTGTTACAGTAAATCCTAAGTGTAGTGTGTCTCCTCTCCTTCAGGTACGGAGGAGCCCACTGACGCTTATAAAGAAGGGGTGAGCGTGTCTCCAACACCTGTGTACAAGGAGTTATGGTTCATCCTGCTCTTCTCCATACTCGGACTGTTCCTGCTGGCTTTGTTTATCGGTTTAGTGCTACAGAGGTACTTTCATATCCAAGTGCATTCATAATCTGCATAGTTGTGTTTCTGTTACATCTGTCTCTTCCTCATAGAACCTAAACTAACTCCTCATTTCCTCATGCAGAGCTTTGAGGAAAGATCCGGCAGCTAGAGAGCGCCCTCCACTGGTGATGCTGCAGAAGACAAGTAAAGCTGAGCTTTACATGGTGAGATAAATGCTTCAGTCGAGTTCAATCACCTCTGCAACAATGGGTCACATTCTTTAAATCTTTCTCTTTGATGATTTCTTTTTATATCACTATCAAGCTGAGTTTACTTCATACTGACTTTTCTCTCTTCCTAAACTCCTCCATCACCTGTTCTCTCGCCTCAGAGGTCCAGTCCTGAGTTGTGCTCTAAACATTATTCCGGCTCTGTGCTACTCTCTGGTCGACCCACAGTAAGACGAGACTTTTACTTGTTTCCATGTGTGTCCTAAATGTTGCCTCTATTGTCCCCTTGCAGTTTGACACAGTAACAGACTGTGTTGAGATCAGCAACGTTGTACTTAAAAGCTACACTGTGTATTCAGAGGTATGGGAGCGTGTCTGTGTGTGGCCATTCTGCTTCTGCATGCGCTATGTGTGCTGTGGGGGCGAGATTAAAAAAAAAAAAAAAAACATCTGAGATTTGTATTTGGTGGAAAAATACATTATTGCATCATTTTCTGGCACATTGGATTCAGTTCAAAGTGCTAATTTTGAACATGCCGTGGTGTGCATCATTGCTTAAGAAAGGAGAAAAGTGGAGTGTCTTCCATGTTATGACCGTACAGTGTTGTCAGATTCTACACTCTTAAAGGAGATCCACAAACACTCTGGCTTTAATGATTTAGGAGCAGTGACTAATCAAACTGGCATTTTGATTTTGTGATATGTTGCCTCATGCTCTCTCTATGTTCTCTTCCAATCCCTAAAATCCCAAAAATAAAGTATACTGTTCCCTTTAGGCTTTATCGGACACAAAGATCACAGAGAGTGGGCAGCGCTTCAGTACCATGCCAGTGCTGCGAGTGCCCAGCCAACCCGACCTCGGTCAGTTCTACTCCCAGCGTCCTCTGCACCGCAGTGTGAGCCAGCTGATCGACAGTAAGTCTCTGATGATGGAGGAAGGGAGCTGGGACAACCCCCTTGGACAAGAATCCGGACTGGTAAGTCACTATGCTCCTTGTAAATGCCCAATAACATCAAATGTTCTCCAACTGAGCACATTCAAGACAATGCTCACATTCAAGACTTATTTGGTCGGACTTTCAGCAGAGTTGATTTGTCCTATGTTAGTCACATTGGGTAACATTCATTTGTACATTTGTAAGAAATTAATGCTACCCAATGTATATATATTCATTGATTTTTACCTGGGGGCCCTTATTGGTCATAACTGAATTCTATCCTTCACGTTCTCATAATACTGAAAAGTTCAAACCATGTCTAAACCCAACATGTGATGTTTAGGATTGACACAGTTGCTACTAAGTTACAGATTCCACCTGTTTTGCACAATTACATAAACACCTTTCAATGGATGGAAAGATGAAAGTTTTAAATGCACAGCAACTTCTAATAAATTATTTGTCATTTGCAAGTAAGACGGTGTGCAGGAATCTATTTCTCTGTCACATTCGGCTGTACAAGCCTCTCCTCCTCCACACCCAATCTGTAGGTATTGATGCAGATCGGGTGTGCATTTGACTGGAGTAGGATTGAATCCCTTCTCCAGTCAAATGCAGAGCAATAACATGGTGAGCAGCAGCATCACTAATACTAATGATTGTCCTCATCATTATTATCAAATCCATATAACTTTTGGTGTTGCCCAGCTGTCGTAGACCATCCTTCATTGGGAAGAAAAACACATAAAACTCAGTGTGAACCAGAGATAAACAGCGTTATTCATAAAAGACAAATGCTTGTGTAAAATACCATTTAGATTTGTGTCCTAGTTATGAATGTCTGTCTTTCAGTATGTGGAGGAAGACGAGTTTGGAGACGCCATCAAGTCCCTGAGCTCTGCCCAAAAGGACCACACTGTGTTCACAGACACACACCTCTGACACAATATGGTAACACAGGGAAACACACAAAAAACACAAAAGTTTAGATTAGCAAGTAGTGAGCAGATGATCAACAAATGCACTGTAAATGTTTAGTGTTCATGCGTAGAGCTCTCAGTGTTGGTAAAATAAGCACTTCACCGTTTTGTCAATTATTTATTGTGAGAAATCTGTGCTTTATCTGACGGTTGGGTCTTGGTGATGTCTAATGTTTTAAAATGCCAAATAATGTGTCCCGGAACTCCGACTGTGCCGTTTTGCGAGTAAAGCTGTCGTAGCGATGAAACAGGTTCATTCAATCTGGTTTTAGAGTCTGTTGCCAGTTACAAGTGTGTAGTCACCGGAGAGGGATTGTCTGTTTTTCAATTGCTTCAGCAGTTTGTTTCATTATTTTTCAGTTTATTTTTGAAAATGTTTATCTGCACAATGAATGAATTGCTGTTTTTTTTTTGCTTTGGCAGTATTATATTTGTATTAATATGAAGTGTTGTCTACAGTTAAATTCATGATTGTGATTATTTTGATTATAAATGACGAAAAGTGGACTTTGTATGTCTTTGTGTCTTCTTATATCATTATTTTTTCTAAACTATTAATGATATGCTTTAACACAAATACGAAAGATCACAGACTGATCAGTGCTGAGTAAGCGGCCCACTGTATACAGCCTGATCTCCGTCAAATCTCAGCTGCAGTAATTTGGTTTTGCGCTCCTGTCCCTTAAGGGGACATCAAGGCGAGTTTGAAATTAACAAAGTGGCAGTAACAACAGTGCCCTCGCTCAAGGACAGCAGTCTGACAAGGGCACTTCTCCGCATTCACAGCCACATTCACAGCTATTGTCAGGCTCCGAGGGAGGCGCCACTTGTGAAAAGAGACTTTGTGAAGTGATTGTGAGGGACAGTATGGCCCAGAGCTACAAACACACACACTTTTATTAAACTCATAAATCATATGGACGACAGACGCTGTCTCAGAGCAGACTGAGCACGAAGGTTAGTGAAATGATCACAAAAACTCACTTCAACCACAAATTTTATTGAATTGAGAGTCGGAGAAGGTAATGGTGTCAATACTACACACGTTTGAATATTTAGAGTTTTATCTGCATGCACCATACTTCATTGAATGCAATGGTCACACAACATAATCAGTTTAGACAAGTGTAAAACAATGCTATTTGCAGAGTCACACAGAATAACAGTACCTTTGACAATGTGGGACGCTCTAAATCACCTTTTCTTTTAACTCACGAACGTCTGGCATAAATGTAATGTAAACACAGCCAGAGGAACAGAGATGACTGAAACACGTGCAAAACAAATTGGCAGAAAATATAAATACAATATTTGATAGAAAATAAACATGACCTATATACTGAGTATTAATAGTGCTAGTGCAAATATAATTAGGTCCATTAGAATGGTATTAAATGCAGAACAAAGCATTAGGCATATTAATGCAGTTTACATATACAAGGTGCATCTTTGTGCTGGCAGGCAGGTACCAAAAACAAATCCAATATCTAAATATAATTAAAGTCATTTCATATTTTCTGTATGCATACTGTATTATTTTTTGGTAGTCGCAGTATCATAAATGACAGTGTAAATAAATAAAGCAAATTACATTATCAAACTATTATTTGAGTCTCTTACAGGCCTCATTCTCTGCATAAAACATATTTTCCTTCCTATAAAAATGAGCACAATGAGTTGAACACACACCACACAATATTGCTATGGTGCAACAGTTTACTCATTTAAACTTAGACTTTAGGTCCATTTGTCTTTTTCCGTCTTTGGTCAGACTCAATCTTCACTACAGGCGATAGAAGGCACTTAAAGCGAACCAGAAACCTGCGATGTACAAACAAAATAACAGCTGTTTAAAAGAAATTTCCACACATTTCTCCTTTTCAGCTTCTCAAAACATCGTCATCAGAAAAAGGCACAAACCCATTCACTAAGCAAGATGAGATGGGTCAGGGGCGAGAATACACCATTTACGCATAATTAAGTGTTTCGGCTGAGCTGTTGTTTAGTCTGTGTTATTTTCAACAATTCAAACAAACCGATAAAATGAACAGTGAAAACAATGATGCAGCAATATTCAAAACTCATTCTTACAGTTTCTAAAAAGAGCCAACAGGACCTCAGATCACATGGTTCAATTCAAGTAGCTGCCGGGTCACAACAATCTGCTCTTATGGCTCAAACACAAAGAAAAACCATGAAACATTTCTTCTTTTCAGGTCAAAGCCACTGAGACCAAAGGTAAACTCAAAGGGGAAAGCTCCATTTTCAGGATAAAGATAAAGCTAGAAGTAGAGTCATGTAAATAGTGTTAAATCAATGCTTATGTTAAATTAAGCAGCAAATGATTGAGATATACTGTATGTAACAAATATCGCCTCTTGTAAGGGTCTGTACAAACACGAATCTTCTTGTTTAGAAGTTCATATTTCAGTCTTGCCTCACAGTGAATAAACACACACTCTGAACTACTTGATAATGAATCCTGACATGTAACGCAAGTCGACAATATAGTATGATATGAGGTTTTGTAACATGTAGCTCAGAGCATCCCACTGCGTCTAACAGTTTGCTGTATGTCTCTTCTTGTGCTCTCCCTCATTTCCTTCAATCAAATAAATCCCAAGACAAAAAACATCTTTCAAAAGTAAAACATGCTAGAATATTTTGTTAACATTCCAAACTCAGAAGTTAAACTGAATTGAAGCGTCTGGACCTGATGTCTTTGCGTCCATGTAGCTTGCCGCAGTGCAAATATCTTGTAAAAGTAGCTCAGCATTTGCAGCTAATTAGAGAGCGGTTTGTTATCTCCCCGAAACGGGAAGTGTGCTGCTTATGTGCGAACCACAGAGATCGGGAAATGTTTTAAATTAACTACAGTTTTTTGACCATTTAAGGATCAAAGATGGGGACTTGTGTGTGTAAGTCCATGGTACCCGGGCATGGTGGCTACAGGCTGCTGTCCAGGTTGGGGGTCTCCTGCGCGGGTCTTCGGTGCCGCGGCGATGTGGAGGATGTGGAGGAAAGTCTTGTGGGTGAAGGGGACGCGGTGGCGGATGAGTCGCTCTCTCCCGTCTCTGGAGCTGGAGGCATGGGCGAGAGCTGAGGGACGCTCAGGGCCTTCTTCCTGCCCAGAAACCCCCCGTCCAACACCCCCCTCTTCTTGGCGCTGCTCTCGGCTTTAGCCCCGTCCGCCTCCTCCTCTGTGGGGAACACTTTGCGCCGCACATCTCCGCCCACCACGGGGCTGTCTGGAGCCTGGAGGTTTTTCTGAGAGCCTCGAGGCGCCCACAGCTCCGAGTGACAGGGTCTGCTGTCCTCCGCAAACTCACACCGCCGACCCTCTGCGGAACTCACCGTATCGTCCAGAGCCCCCCTGCTCAGGCTGAAGTCCTGGAACTCTCTGCTCACAGAAAAGGGAGGTGTGTTAAGGCTGCGCCACTAATTCGATCGAAACAAAATCGCAATTTTTGTGGTCGCAATTAACAAATGGCATACACTGGAATGGTTGACTTTTTTGTAAAGTTTTCAAGTAAGCATATTTTGTCTTATTGTGCCAGAAGCATACAGTAAATGTTCTCATTCCAAATGGCAAATCTCATGTTCGTTTCATTGATTTAAGCCAAAAATATCACACTATTGCACAAGTCTGGTATGAATATAAGAATTAAGTAGTTTTTGTCTTGTCTAAAAGATTAAAACTACTTACTAACTAATGATTTCTTCTTCATTTGAACTTTTTAAAATGTAATCTATTGAAGTTGTTATATTTATTCTGAACAAAATTAGACCTTTTAAACATACAGGTCATGTTGGTCAGAAACAGATATTAAGCAAAAGTCGTGCAGCCCCTTTGTGTTAAACTTATATAAAGTTATAGGCGATGAGATAACTGTTTATCGTCTAACTCAGACACATGACTAAGGACCAACACGTGTGACCATATAATGGCCAGAACACTACAATAGTTGTGATGGATGTTAATAGCGAGATCCGTTTGTCACTAATCCTAATGAACTGTAATTCTCTTCATTCATTTCCATTTGGACTTCGATGAGAAAGCTTTGTTACCTGTAGCTGTTGAAGGACTCTGTTCGTCTGGCGCGGGCCAACAGTGGACTCTCTCGGTACGGCCTCACAGCTCCGTATGTGGCCTGGTTTTCAGGGATTGACTCCTGAGTTTGTAACTGAAAACTGAGTGAGTACAGAAGAAGGATTTGTAAAAAATATATACTGTATATACATATTTAAACAAAGTTAAACAAAATGTGTTTAACTTTTGTAATGCTTTTAGAAATCAGTTATGTTATGACAACAATGATCAATGCTAGAATGTAATCACTAAATCAATTGTTTGGTCATTTTGGCTTATTGTATAATGAGCAGTTTATTGAATATATGTCTATATGACTTATACGAACAAATTGCTCCTTCAATTGGCGTTTAATAATGGTTTGCTGAAAGAAAAATATTACTCATACTTAGTACTGAAAACTTGGACATATCCAGTGGAGTCTGACCTGGCGCAGGAGTCCCTGAGGCGTGTGTGCAGCAGAGAGGAAGCCGGGCTGATGTTCGGAGTGGCACAGCGAGAGCTGCTCAGGTCACACTGGTCCAACAGCTGCAGCAGCTCCTCCTCCGTGGGCCCTCCTACATCTGTGGAAGACATGTTTATAGAATGCATATAGATGTAGCATTTACGACAGAACACGCTGTGATTCACCTTCTTTCTTCTTCTCCTCTCCTTTGTTTGCCGTGTCCATCGCGGTTGTTAAGTCCCACATCTGAATGCTTCCATTGCCGTGTCCCGTGAACAGATAACGCCGAGGCCGTGAGCCCATCCGACTGGAGCCCTCACACTCCCGAACCATGAAACAGGAAATAGTCGTACCATCCACAGACTGGACTTCACAGATCCTAAAGAACACGATTACTATGAAACTACACTAAACAGTAATATGTACAGCAAGTGTTCCAAACTATTATCACCTTTTTCCAGTGGACGAAAGCCTCACAAAAAGTTTGTTGGTGATGGGGATGACCTTCTGAATGAAAACCTGTTGGTCATCTCTCTCTCCAAATGGACCTGGAGCCATGAATACAACACAATGCATGAATTCAGCCCATTTGTGCTCTTAAAAAACAAACTAGTTCTGTTTTTCATGTTAAACACTTTTCAGCAGATCAGTTTTTTCTCTTTTACAAGCAATACAAGACGTTTTTCAAGAATTCAAGAACTTTCAGAAACCAGAGACAGGGAGCCAGAGTAAGGACTTCAAGATTGGAGAAATATGGGTTCTTCTTCTATGGGTGCACAAGTGGAAGTTACAGCTTCTGATCAGCTGTTTGGTACATTGTTGTAGGGACATCCTTTCTACTCCAAGGATCCTCAGACTTTATAGAGCTGCTTAGGTCGCCACGTGCTGAGTAATAAGGGGCACAGTATACAGTATGTATACTCAGTCCATTGTAACGTACAAGAGCTGCTTTTCAAACACATCTCTACTCAGGGAAAGTAAAGTATTATTTTTTGGGACAAATGGATAAAGGGAAATGAAGAGTTCAATACATTGTCATATTTTTGTGTTGTTTGTGTCGTCTCTCACCAATATCGTTCCCAGAGCCGTAGCTGCCATGACTTTCTGTCTCCTCCAGAGAGAGTATTTTAAACGAGGCCAGAGGAGTGGAGCCGGGCTGAGTGGAGATCATCCCTCTGAAGCGCGTCACTGTCCATGTCCGGACGTGGTTGTTATCTGCACACACTGCAACAAAAACAACAACATTTATTTTTTAGTCAGTTTAAGTCACAGTGGGCCTCGTGTATGAAACTTGCGTACGTCCAAATCAGGGTGTAAATGATGCGCATAATATTTACACTTTTCCGCATTTATCAATCTGGACGTGAGCGTACGATACGCAAAAAATATACGCCAGGTCTGGAGGTGGTGTAAATGTGTACGCTCATTTCAACCTTCATTGCAACACACCAAAACACGCATGAAATGCAAGATTTGGACAACAATAAACATATTCCCACTCTGGCAAGATTATAGGCACACCTCTCACATTACAAATATGCAATTTTACGATGTTACTATGTTAGGGCTAGTTTGTGTTATTAAATAACGTGCAAGATGTCAAACTTAGTCTCCCACAAATGTGTGGATTGTTATATGCACCTACAATCAGTGCGTAATGGCTTTGGTTCATGCGGGTCCAAACAAAGACGCGCGCCACCGTGGAGCGCTGCGCGGGTCTGATCAGGCTCTGGTACCTCCTGGTACAAGTGTGCCACATGGTCCTGGCTCGGTTCTCCACAACAGGCACAGGACCACAGTGTGCCACTGGTGGAGCAGCCCATGGATGAGAGAGACCATGGCCAGCACCGCCTTCGGCCTGTACAGCTCAGACAAGCTCTTATTCAACCATTTAAAAATAATAATCACATTATATCTCATTTGAAGATAATTGTATTTCTTTATATTTTCTTTTGGATGCTTTGGTCTGGCGGTCCTCCCCCTGGGCTGCTGAGCACTTCTTCTATGGGCTGCGCTAAACGCCTTTTTGTTACCATTTTAAGGTCGCTCCCTTTTTTTTCACTTGTAGCATAAATTAATGAATTCTTACTATTGGCCCAAATGCAACTGTTTGATATAATATTGCGTATTTTTCTTCGAACATGAATAAACTCACCTCTTCAGGAGTGCGTGTTGCAGGCCCCCCGCTGTTTACAGATGCTGTCATTTCTTTCCATATATTGTTTTTGAGCCGCTTGATGCCACTTTTTAGAATTCCAAATAGTAAGACTTTATTCTTTTTCCCACTTCGTTCATAATGGTCTCAATCTCCTGCTCCGTGAAGTTATTTTTCCTTAGCCGTTTACTCACTAACCAGATCCTGCACCGTATACGTAATTAAGCATAAGTTTTGCCTCATTCACCTCTGGCAAAGCAATGTGGGTTTTCCTTAGTTTTGTGCATAAAGCCCCATAAACGCAATTGATCTTGCTCAAAACTGCTCATCCACTGCCCTGTTCTCCGCAGCAGAGGTAGAATGCAACGCGCATGTGGGAACTGGTTCATTCATTCATTTATTATTTATTTATTTACTTCTAAATTTCAGGAGAGATGAGTGCTGCAGTGGGTCTAGACACTAGGGAAAAACGTGTATATATAATAGAGCGTATATATATATTTTTTTAAACGTGAATAATCTCAGAAGTGTGTGTTTTTTGAGGCTACCAAACAGTCTTCTTAGCCGACTTCCTGCTGACCTGTCGCAAAAACAGGGGGTGGAACAGGTAGTTTCTGAATATTTCTAGGCGTGACTTTCATAAATACGCTGGTTTCATTTATCAACAGCCGCAGGTGCGTACGCTCAGATCTGTGCGTATCTCACACGTTCATAAATGCCACGTCGGATCTTGCGTAAATGGAATATATACCCTTTTCTACGCAACTTATTGGGATAGGTATTGGAATAAGAGCTGATTGTCTGCTTTGTCTTTCACTTTTCATGAATCATCTTTTTATACAGCGACATGAGTCACAAAAAAGCTTTAATTTTTTTTTTTTTAAACACCTTTGACTTATTCTTTATACATTGTTCATTCACTTCACAAACAATGGCGGTAAGTGACTATTGTGGCCACAGCTGCTCTGGGGCCCACATACGGAAGCAGTGCTGCACCACCGGATGCTCTGAAAACCACTAACCATTCTATCAAATACCAGATTCTTACAAGACAATGTGGGTGAAGTGTCTTGCCTTAGGACACAACCACAGTTTTGTTCTTCATGCCTCAGCTGTGCCAAAGCTCCTCTTTTGACCCAAAAGAGGTCAATGAATTGTGTGGAAAAAATGTAATGTTGACCATTATTTTCAAAATGTGACAACACAACAGAGCAGTGTGAGGTGAGACGTTGTTACCGGACACCAGATGTTTCTCTGACAGCATGATCTTGGTGACGGGGCTGCGGTGCACGGTGAAGGTCTGGAAGAGCTGCGGCCCGGAGCCCACGGTCTCTGGGTGCTGCACGATGACCCGCACCGCCCCACTGCTCGTGCCGTATGCGATCTCTATCCAGTTCCCGCTCACACCTGCAAACGTCAGGACATTTTCTGACATCCAATCGAGTGATCATAGCAACAGGGTGATGTCACAGCCCCAAAGCCGCTAATGCACAACAGCCAAAGAATGTAGATGAAGTAATTACATGTGTAATGGGAAGAGGTGCTTTTTCTTCCTGTCAACTCTGTGAGAACTCTTACTTTTGTTTGCTGTTATACCCTGATGTGTATAACTGGATTAAACATTATAATTATAAATACCTAATGAGTTAAATGAAGTGAATATATTTACTAGTTTTGGGAGTCAGGTAGACAGAGAGAGCTGTGATTGCATCATTTGAGGAGTCGTGATAAAGCTCCGTCACAAGAAGATCATTGTCCTTCATCCTCAAAGGAAACTTCTGCATGTCTGTGGAAACAACACACTTAACAATACAAACCTCAGCTTAGTGGAAACATTCAGTATATAAAGGCTGTACCTATGTAATAAATAGAACCATTGTTACAACCCAGCAGCAGGAATGATCCTGCCGTGTCACAACTCGTGATTGGAACAACATCTTGAACCTAACAAAATAAAACAAATGAGCGAGAATCCTACTTTATAAGAAACACCAGAGCTGCAACTAACCCTGTCACAATTATCACTATTAACTTATCGTTCTTTCAATTGAGGATGAACAATTAGAGATGTGGGTTTTCTGTGGCCGATACAAATGTTTAAATTGCTGATTTATTATCGGAGGTTGTAACATAATGCCTTCATGAATATTAATGGCAGTAGATTTATTTTAAAGGAATAGTTCACCGTTTTTACATACTGACATATATTCTTACCTTACCTTAGACTAGTTAATATGTACCTGTCTGGTCTTAGTCCGTGCGCTCTGTCATGCAAACGGAGCAAAAACGGGAGCACAAACGCAGCCTCCTCTGTATACTGTGTAGGACCCAAAAGGTAGCTCCCGCTAGAAGCTACCAAACTCTTCCAAGTGTTCCCTATTAAATGTATATAGTTACGTGACGTGTTACACTGCAAAGAATAGTAACACAGAAATGTAACTGTCGATTTTCTCAGCGGATAAAACGGGTACTATATTGTGAGGCGTAGTAATCTGAGGAGCGCTACGTCCGCGCACTGACTTCTCTCCGTACTACAAGTCACGCTGCTTCTATTGACGGAAGTGAGCGAGAGAGAAGTCTCCGGAGAGAAGTTAGTGCGCGGACGTAGCGCTCCTCAGATTACTACGCCTCACAATATAGTACCCGTTTTATCCGCTGAGAAAATCGACAGTTACATTTCTGTGTTACTATACTTTGCAGTGTAACACGTCACGTAACTATATACATTTAATAGGGAACACTTGGAAGAGTTTGGTAGCTTCTAGCGGGAGCTACCTTTTGGGTACCATACAGTATACAGAGGAGGCTGCGTTTGTGCTCCCGTTTTTGCTCCGTTTGCATGACAGAGCGCACGGACTAAGACCAGACAGGTACATATTAACTAGTCTAAGGTAAGGTAAGAACATATGTCAGTATGTAAAAACGGTGAACTATTCCTTTAAAGAAGGGAAATAAGAGAAACAGGAACACCAAAATACCCAGAGTGGTGTTTGTAGCAGGTCATTTACAGCTCATCTTTTGCATTTGTGCTTGTGATTTACTCTGTTTTGGTAGTTTTCTCGACAAAATGAGTAACTGGACCAAAGGTAAAGATGGCTATTGTGACAGTGTTAGCTTTGCCACCGCTCTTATTGAGTCGTCTGTACCTGCCAGTGCTGTGTGACTGCATTCCACACGCCGACCTTCCCCGTGTGGCTTGTAGCTACTAACTGATTCCCAATAAAGAACAAGTCGTCAACAGGTACGCCCAAACTAAACACACCTGCAGGGGAAGGGAGAAGATTAATTTTTTTGGATGAGATGAGAAATGCTCGAAGTGAAAGCGCTGATTGTGTACCAATCTCATTCCCGCTCCCTCCATCTTGGATGCTCCAGAGTATGATGCTGCTTCCTGAAGCTGCGGCCACCATCTTGTCCTTGTCTCCATGGGGACCACCCACCACTTTGGCATTTAGTGCAATACGCTCAATGGTCCATTCGAGATAAGGGGACGAAAATATCTGCTGCCATCCGGAAGACTCCTTTATTCTGTGGGAAAATATGATGTCATTCATTATTCACTTTACTCATAATACCATAATACAATATATAGTGTCTATTCTATAGAAGCTACACATTGTATTCCTTGTAAACACACAGTGTATGGCTGTTGAATGTCAGTATATTATTATATTATACATTGAAACATGAGCAGATAACAAGCGGCTATAACAAACAGGATATGTACATTAATTATAAATGACTTTGTAGTGATACCTGTAGCAGATGACAAAGTGCGCATAAGCAGCGACAATCCAGTTGTGGTGTCCGGCTACAATCAGCACTTTTCTGGGATCAACTACAGGACCTACACCATAAAACCTTTTGTAAGAGTTTAAATGGCATTTCATTGCATATGTTTTTATTAACTCTATTGGGGTTGACAGAGTAAAAAAGACTAATAGCAAGTTTAGGTGTGGGGGGGACTCTTGCCTAGTGAGAGGCCGTCCTCCGCTGCTGTGACCCCCATCAGTGTGGGATGGGGCCGGCTCAACCCTTCAGCTCCACTTGGACCTGGACGTTCTTCCGCTGTGACGCTGCTGCACTTACGAGCTGGAAAGGCTGTTAGGGATTATATGAGGTCACATGTTGCAGAGAAAAATGAATGATGTAACTGTCTCAGGGACTCTACCTGGAGGAGGTAGGTAACCGTGAAAAAGAACACTGCCACAAGACGAACGGTCCAACTCCTCACACAGCTGCAGCCGCCGTACTTTGAACACAGAGTTACAATGTTGGTATCATCGATGTCATGTAGCATTTGGGCATAAATCGTTGAAATACGAAGAGATTAATGGACTTGAATTAAGAAAGCCTGATATTCTGGCTTGAATGTCAAAGTAAATACCAATTTCTTACCAACTCAAATATTCAGTTAACTAAAGGTTTATCTTATCTTATCTAATACAACATACATTTGGTCAACTAAGACACCAGCAACCAATTAATCAACCAATTAATCAACCAAACTAAATATATCACCATGTGGTACTCCAACAGAAGGTACAGAAGGGGAATTTCATAGAGGGAAGTACAACCACATGGAAGTATTGTTTACCACTTCAAACAACACCAACGGCTCACTTTAGTGAATATGTTCAATCTACGAACAAACTTATATTTAATCCAACATCCTTTTAATACATGCAACTTCCTTACCTAATGGTGTTATGCCGTAAAATTCTGCTTCATGTCTTAAAATGCTGATATTAACTCCTCTATAAAAAACAAAACATTGTTTTATATTAATTGCTTCTTTATTTTTGTTGCAAACCTGAAAGGTCAAATTACCTTAAATCCAGTTCTTTGGTTCGAAGGAAATTCAGAATTGGTGCAAATGCTGTGGGATCCCTGTCAATAAAAATCTGGAAAAAATGAAATGTTTGTTCATGAGTGTTCAGCGTTTGTCAGAACCCATGTTTCTAATATTCAAAAACGAACATTACTTACAGCTCCAGTTTCATCCCGAAGAGTAGATATCCTTCCACTTAGTAAACTACAACAAAAACAAAATATGTCTATTTCTCAAGATTTGCCCAGCGAGTACATTTCAGTTATAAACAGCATATAAGGCATTGCTTAACAGTGTTCTTTTTGCCTATTGTTGCATGTAGATCCATCCACATTTCAGATCAGATGGATTATTGCACATAATTACAGATACATAAGTACATTATAATTACACAGAAAGGTCACACAAGGTACAACATTTTATGGGAAATGACAATTACCTTGAAAAGAAAGAGTCTGGTATCCACATCAGAGTTTGTCTAGAGGTGCAAAATCTACAGAAAAGAATAGAAAATAACAAGATTATACAGATGGAAAAATAAAGACAACATACTAACGACATAAACTGAGTCATGCTTTGTCCAATGCATGCAAACGAATACATACACACATTATGTGTAGGTCTTACATAACATATAAAATTGCCCATCAGCACTGTTTTGAATCCCGAAAAGGCAATACATCAGTCATGATGCATGTTTGCGCTGACCTGGTCCCGCCGACGTTCAGCTGTATTATCTCCCCCATCGCAGCGGAGGACGTGTTGTCTTCGCTCGTGGCCATGATGACAGATCCAGTCCTGTTTTGGCGATGCTAGCTTGCTAATGTTTCGCTCGCCTTCAGTGCTGAGCTGATGCCCGGTCCGTCCTGCTCCACGACCCCGCGTCCTCTGCCTGTCTCCGCTGGAAATCCCGTTACTCACTGATTAGGTCTAGGCCTGGCGTGTTAAGGTTCACTTCTGAGTCGCAAACCATGTTTCTATTCATGAAAAAATCTAATACAGCCATAAATATACTAAAACTGCGTGTATATGTGTTTGCATCGTTACGCTCTTGTTGGGAAAATAGTGGATACTCTGTTCTCTGTTTAGCTGTAGTTGTGAGAGAAGCGTACAAGATAGTTCAGTAAAACAACTTCCGGTATTGTGAATGGAACTAAAATAAATAAAGGGATACATTTAAGCTGTGAAATAAACATTGTGTATTGAAAACACAAGCTTCTACATAAATTACAAGATAAAAAATATATTGACACTAAAGCGGGATTTGTATGTACTTGTATTGTAAAAACAAACGCAACAAGACACTACTTTACCTTTACTTCCGGTATTGTGCACAAACGCAAAGATTGTCGAAAATATCATATTTTTACTGCACAAAAGAGCATATTATCTCATTTTTAGAATAATTCGCATACTTTAAAGTCTGATTAAAATGAGATATTTTTGTTAATAAATAAAACTGATAGTACATGCATTACAATGTATTTATTTATATACGTTTTTATTTTGAGAATTCTTGATCTATTTGTTTCACATTAATGCGGCCTTTTTGACTGATATTAATATGTGTTCAGTTTATGAGTTGAGTTTTACCCAGATCCATGGTTTTACCGAGTATCTCTTGCGCAAGTCGGACTCCTCTGGCCCCTCCCACTCCTGCCTGACCGAGAGAAAGAGCCTGGAAAACTAAAATCTATGACAACTTTCTTCTGTAATGTCTGTGAAACCAAACATGTAAAATCAAGAAAAGGGTGGTGCGATGCTTCTGTGTAAACGGTAATATACTCTTCTTTCACACGAAACTTGACTCTGAAATGCCACTTTTAAGTAGCTTGTTAGCTCGCAAAGTTAGCAAAAGAGAACAAGACTCAGCATGCTAATGTCGGTAATTATACACCCCTTTTAAAGTCTTGTAAGGAAGTTAACTTTTGTATTTCCATTCAGTTTCACAGTTACAGCTCATATCTTAAACCTTAGAAAAGCTAGCTGTACTGTATCTTGTTGCCAATATCCACATATTTGTGATGGTCTCGTTATGAATGTTAACACTGAATTACTAAGGTTTCACCATAGCTTACTTACACGTAAGCTAGATTTTTTGCTGTGGCCATTAAACTGATAATAGATATTCTTTGCTATTCTCTTGTAATGTCTATGTGTAAATAGCACAGACAGGATAAGGGTGAGAGAGAAAGGGAGGGACATTATTAACACCACTTGTTGCCATTTGCAGCTCACTAAAACATAAAAGCAACGCAGGCCTTCAAGTGCTGTCACCATGTCAGAAACAGAGGAAAAAGGAGGGCCACCTGCTGAGGTCAACGCAGGAGACATATCTCTGGGACATGTGCCCAGTCCCACTCAGCAGCAGCAGGGTGGCATGTCTGTGACTTCTCCTGTGGCCCATCCTGCCACCGCTGTCACAGAGGATGAAGATGAGAGTGAAGATGAGTCCTGTATCCTGGAGGAGAGTCCCTGTGGTCGCTGGCAAAAACGAAAAGAGGAGGTAAGACACTGTGTATAAATGTCCATATATTTATATATATATATGTCATATATAAAGTTGAGGTTTCAACTTTGCTCAATCGATCTTTTGGTTTTTAACTCTATCCCTTCTCTACGGAGTAGTTTAGATGTTATTAGCTGTTGTTTTCAATAATTCTGAATATTTGTGCTATATTTCAGCAGTGCAACAAAATATACACATTGTGATCTTTTACAGGTGAATCAGCGAAATGTTCCAGGAATAGATGCCGCTTATTTGGCCATGGACACAGAAGAGGGGGTGGAAGTGGTCTGGAATGAAGTCATGTTTTCGGAAAGGAAAAACTTCAAAATTCTAGAGGTGTGAGGCAATATTCTGCTTATTGTGTGAATAATGGGAAATGTATATCTTTAGCCTAACTAACCTTTTTTTAAATGCCATTTTTCCTGGTGGAACCAATAATAAAGAATGCAGACTTTCTATGATGTATAAAAGGTTAAGTTTTTCTGTACAGTGCATTCTTTTGTCAAAGTAGTAACATTCTACAACTGACAACTGGGTTCTGTATTATGCCCAATACAACTTCTTGTGCGTAACTTGTTTTGTCATATCACATTTCAGGAGAAGGTGAAATCCGTGTTTGATAACCTGATCCTTTTGGAACATGCAAACATTGTCAAATTTCACAAGTACTGGGCTGACACTAAAGAGAACAGGGCTAGGGTGAGTCTGGGCAAGAATTAACCCATAATAATGTATTATGTCAAACTGTGTAGGAGACTAACTTTGGCTGTATGTATTCTTATCAGGTTATTTTCATAACCGAATATATGTCATCTGGAAGTTTGAAACAGTTTTTGAAGAAGACAAAAAAGAATCACAAGACCATGAATGAAAAGGTGCAATACTAGTATGCCATTATCAATCCAGAACTATATATTTTTTTTAAGTGTATTTATCATTTTCTGTGTACAGGCTTGGAAGCGATGGTGCACACAGATTCTGTCAGCGCTGTGGTCTGTTCAATTAACCAAACCAATAGTGTTTTTTTCAATACTAAATGAACTCACTCATAACTGCTCTTCCTCTTAGTTACCTCCACCACTGTGACCCTCCCATCATCCATGGCAACCTCACATGTGATACCATCTTTATTCAGCACAACGGGCTCATTAAGATTGGATCAGGTGCACACCCGTTCGGTTGCTTGAGGCTCTAAGTGTTGCTCTAACACTTAATTATTTTGAGTTTATATTCATTCACCTGTTTTTTTATAGTTGCCCCAGATACCATTAACAACAACGTGAAAACCTGTTATGAGGAAAAGAAAAATCTGCACTTCTTTGCACCCGAATATGGAGGTGAAACCCTCTTCCAGTGATTGGTAAATGATTGCTATAATATATATAGTATTTCAAGATTATTCTATATGTTGTAGATGTAGAGGACGTCTCAACTGCGGTGGACATTTATTCTTTTGGCATGTGTGCCTTGGAGGTAACGTTTATTCTACATGTACATTGCCTTTTTTATTGTATACTGTGGAATAGATGTAAATGTTGTTATTTTGTGAAATGCTGCGACTCAGATGGCCCTGTTAGAGATTAGTGGAAATGGAGAGTCGTCGATTATTTCTCAGGAGGCTGTCAATAATGCTATACAGTTACTGGAGGACCCGTTACAGAGGGTAAGATGCTGCAGTTTGTTTGAATTCTAAATTAATTTGGACTGTAAGATCTAAAATCTGACACATTTTTACAGGAGTTGATTCAAAAGTGCCTTGAGTGTGACCCCACCACACGACCTACAGCCAAAGAACTACTTTTTAACCAAGCTCTGTTTGAAGTGCCTCTGCTGAAATTGCTGGCCGCACATTGCATTGTTAGTCATCAACGTAAGTTTTCTTCCCAGAACAAACATTTGTATGTAACGCTGCTGTTCCTTTGACTTCATTTTGGACGTTTGGACTGTGCTGCAGATGTGATCCCAGAAAATGCTCTGCAGGAGATTACGAAAAACCTTGATCCAAACCTTGTGATCGCAGAGACAAAGGAGGATGTACAGCTTAAGTACGTCTTTCCCACTGAAGAAGCGCTTCATTTAGCGTCATATTGTACACTGGAGAATAATGCACAAAGAAGTTAACAAAATACTTCTTGGTTTTTATACAGGTTTTCACAATTTCCGGCTCTGGAGCTTGACAAGTTTCTTGAAGATGTCAGGTAAGAGTTAAATCTCAGAGCTCATTTACTGTGTGACTCCAGAAGGGGGCAGCACTGCACTGCTCATTTTCTTGACGTTTTACTGTTTATGTTGTGACTGTATAAATGTATCTGTTAATCTTTTCCAATGTTATTTAAGAAATGGAATCTATCCAATGATAGCATTTGGGCTGTCATGTCCTCAGCAGCCTCAGAAAGAGACGGTCAAGTCCCCTGTCATCATTCCTTTGGTCAAATCACCAACTCCTGAACCTACAGAGCTGGAGACGAGACGGGTAATTTGAAAATGTTGAAAGTATTACGTTCTTAGTTGGATATTGATAAAAGTCTTAAATTCTTATTCTTAACCTGTTTTAAACATATTCAAAGGTTATTCAAATGCAGTGTAATATTGAACCAGACGAAGATGGAGCAAAGTATCATGTAAGTAGAACTGTATAATTAAACATCACATTTTAAATTATGGATTAAAATATCTTTTTGTTTCTTCTTTTTCGTTGTAGTTAACATTGCTGCTGAAATTAGAAGACAAACTTAATAGACATCTAAGCTGTGACATGTTACCTCGTGAGTAGCATTTAATGTGTTTTGAAAGGTCCCATTGAAATATACAATTTAATGACTAAAATGTCTGATATAGCCACACATGAGGCCTTTCTCAACCTCTCAGGCACTTTTGAAAGTGAAACTCAATATGACATCACAATTTACTGTAAGGCATGCAGAACTATACTGGGAACAGTAACTGCCCCTTAAAAGAAGTGTTGTTTTAATATTAATATATATGTATACTGAACTGAGTATAATTAGGTTGTTCAGCCGTTTAATTATCGTTAACACAAACATTTTCCAGACAGTAGTATTATATTTATTTATACACGTCTCTGAACATTTTACATAAGAAAGTAACTAACATAACATAAATATGTAAACAAACCCTATAGAAAGCAAACCTGATGCATGTATGTATGTGCACATGCGCACAGGGTTATGTTGCAGGCGTCTGGGGAATGCAGAGCTGCAGCTGACAGCTGTCACCTCGTGTGTCAATATCTGACCATCTTTTCTCAGGCTTTCAGCCCCTGTCTCCCCCTGTCTCCCACTCTCACTCACACATGCTCAGTTCAACAGTCTCAGAGTCCAGTTCAGGGGCACCAACACCTTTCATTTGGGAGGAATCAGATGAATGTGTTTTAGTTAGCAGAGAGTCAAGCTAATTATAAAGTTACTTCACAAATATGTATTAATCATTAATTTTTGGGTCCTTGAAATCCTTTGCACAACAAAATTCAAATTGTGGGGCAAATGAGATCTCTTGTAGGGCCACATTTTTCTTGCAGTCCCTACAAAAATCAGCTGTATTAAACTCATTCAGAGGTGAATATCAGGGTGAAAAAATCAGACCTAGAAAACAATGTAGTTTCAACGTAGAAAAGTTAAACTTTAAGTATTATCTAGACTCATTCATGAATTTGTGAATACTTGGTCAAAAATCATCTGATACCAGTCGTGGTCGATACCTGAAAACTGTGTATCTGAACTTTCGGGGACATCCCTAATACATAACAGAGCGTCCTATAATTACAGTTGGAAGATTTTCACAGAAGATAAAATCTGTACATCAAGCTCAAATGAAGAATATGAAAAGTCAAAGAACATTTTGCAGAAACATGTTAACACAAGTCATGGTTACTTTAGATGTGAACAGGTTCAAAGGGACTTCTCCTCCAGCTAGTGCCAATAGTGTTTGAATACTTTCTGATGTCCGTTTAGCTCACTATAAGAACCTACTATATTTAGTGTGAAGTGTTCCTCTCGCCGCAGTATCACATGTACAGTGTGTGGGCTTCAGCGGTGCTTGTCTCTGTTTCAGATGAGAGCGTTGGAGAGTTGGCTCTGGAGCTCGTGCAGCTGGGCTTCATCAGTGAGGTGGGTGTTTGAGACGGACACGTGTGCTTCATGTGCACGAGGGTTAGACCAAGGGCTGCTCACGAGAGGAAACATGATATGGATATGTTTATAAAGTACCTCAATGACAGTACTATGCAGCTTTTGAATTAATACTCTACAACTACACCCCTTTAATAGTCCTTTTATGTATCAAAATGTCATATGAATCTTCACTTTAGCATTTCATGTTTTAGAACTAGAAAGAATGTATGTGTGTATAAAAGAGGTTTTACTTAACAGAAGGGAAACGCCTGCAAGTGGGAACTTTAAATCCTGATACAAATCATTTCAAACATGCTGCATTATGTTGATCGAAGGAACTAATGCACATGTGTGATGTTGTTATGAATTACTGTCAAATTATAGAATACACATTTGTTTCAAAAGACAAAAAACGGCTTGGTTTGTGATGTAACAGATAAGTTGATGTTATTAATGAAATCATCTTTTTAAACATTTTCCAAAAGTATAATTCTGTCAGAGGAAGAAACACAGTATTATTATTTGCTTGGATATGGGATAGTTAGGTTGACTCACGACATATTTCTTCTAACCTGCTACTGTTCAATCACCAAATCTGATATGTCTCCACAGATGGACCAAAGTAAAGTAACATCTCTTCTTGAAGAAACACTGTCTCAAGCTCCTCACTGAAATCTTTTGGTCCAGTTATTTATTTTGTACATACCTTTCCACCGGTTTTATGCCTTTTGGTGCTGTGACCAAAACGTGTTCTCATTGGCCATAAAGAATGTAGCTTCCCTTTAGCAAGAACTGACAGCATGTTCATTATGTTCAGAACAACTCCGATGGTGATAATAATCTACCAAAATGTGAATACTTTATTTGATAACAGTGAAAAAAAAAAATCCGCACAGCTATGTAGCTCCCAATCCCAATGTAATACTGCATTTGATGTCACAACAAAAGACCATTTTTAATTCTGAAATAATATAAACAGACAAAACGCTTCCAACAGTCTTATTTGCACAGTAGTAGTTGACACATTTCTGTCAGCTGTATTTTAATGTTGGTTACATTAAATTAGACAAAATATGAATACTAAGGAGAATGTGTTTAAAAAATACTGTGAATCCATTTTTATGTAAATCTTTTTATATTGTCCATTTACTCCAGTTGGTTTTTATGCCATTTTATTTCTCCATAATGCTGCCTCATGAGTTTTCACCATTAACTTGAAACACAATATTCCATATAATGTTAAAACTGGACATAAATATGTGTACATATTATTCTTCTTTGTTTACAGGTTTAATGGTCAATGTATTCCTCGGCTGCGTATTTGTACTGGTACTTAACAGGGTGGCAGCATTATTCTTATTTCATCTTGTGTTTAATAACTCCACTTTTTAAAGAGTTGGAGAATTATCTGTAGCACAACTTTTTTTTTTTCAATGGTGTCTTTATTTTCTAATCTTCCAGACTTGAACCACTGGAAGTTGCGAGTGCGAGTGCTTTTACATTTATTTTGTGAGAAAGTGATTGTAAAACCCAAAGAAAGACACTCCCTGGCATCCCCTTTGTAGATCTAAGGTTTCTGTTACAAAAAGATCTTAAAGGATGAGAGGAGTATGGCACTTGGTGAAAATATCTTTCTTTTTTTTTTCTTTTTTTAATCTTACATGTTATTTATGACACACATTTGAGTTGGCTGCAGTGGGTACATTCAAGCAGTCAGCTGTATTACACTCTTACAAATAAAAGTGTGAAACTCAACCGTGTCCATATTTTTACTTATTTAATTAGTACCTTTTGGTTTTATAAATAATACATTTGCTTTTACCGACAGAATAAAGTCTTGTAAAAGTAAAATTTTGTTAAACAACTTAACCACAACACTCTCTTAATTTATTAGCTTAGTTATTAGATCCGTGGTTATTACAGGTAGGTCTGCTGACGTCACAGACACCCCGGAAGTAGCAGGACAAAGATACCACTTCAATCGACAACCTGGCGGACATTCGTGCGTCCAGCTATCCACACAGAAAAGGGAAAGTTGTTCCGCAAACAAAAAGCGCAGTAGAACTTCCAACATGTGCAAAGTATTTGGTAAGTGCGTTGTTTTTGATGTGTTCTTGGGAAATGTCTAGAAAGGTGCACGTTATCAGGTGTAACGCATAAGCTTTGGTTGAAACTTGTCGAAGGGGCTGAAATCACTCTCACAAACACATTACTTTTGTTTTGACATCGTAAAGTCTGCACACCAATTTGTTATCCATCGAGTTAGAGTTTTGAAAGAAAAAAGTTGGTTTGATTTCGTCTTTGTGCAAACAGCTCCTCCCACTGAGCGCCTTACCTTACGCTTATATTGAACTGAAAAATTATAAGTCATTCACATTAACAACTATATTTAAAAAAATATGTCATGTTTATTGCCATTCCCTTACTATGTTGCATCTGACTTCAAGTGCTTGTAGAATGGAAATCTATGCATGTTGTGTTGTCTTGTCCTGAATGTGTTTTTCTCCAGATAAAGAGACGGGACCAGGGAGGCTCATGAAGAAGGGTCTGACTCTCATTCTGGTTGGCCACATTAACTTCATCCTTGGGGCCATTGTCCACGGAAATGTCCTGAGGCACATCTCCAAACCCAATCAACATGTCACCACCGAGTATACAGTGGCCAATATTATATCTGTCACTTCTGGACTACTGGTAATTATGTTGGCATTGCACTCACAATGTAATGTGAGTGCAATGTGCGTGCAACGTGTGTAAGAAGACAAAATATTATTAACAATCTCCTCCACATTAGATTATGGGCCCTTTAACAGTTTAGATTTGTTCTGCGTTATAGCAAGAGCAATATACTTGGACATATTGGTAATGAAGTGCGATGATATTGTATGGTGTCAATGACTAACCATACAGTCTATGGACTCAACCCACTCATGATTTGCTCCATGTAAAGGATTCATGTTATTCAATTGTCTGGTTAGTCCCAATATGGGGTTGGTGCAAGTGTGGTCTTGCCCTTGTGGTACATTGTATGAAGAATATTTGTGTATATATAGTTTATTTTTGTGCAAAATTTGAGAAGAAATTCTGCATGCACTATTTCTTCAACTCAAACCAAAAGGGACCATAAGCATAGCAATTCACAATATCTGAGAAATCGTTTATGGTTCATAAATTGACAAGCTCTTTTATGCAGTAAACACAAAATGGAACAATTATTTTCCTCTTATAATCTTGCAGAGCATAGCCTCAGGGATAATGGCTATTGTGGTATCCAGGAACCTTCACCTGATCAGACTGGTAAGAAGTTTAATAACTGTCTCACAGCTTGTGAAAAACCGTAATAAAATATCTCAGAAATTATACATAATATTCTGAAAATAGACCTTAAGGATTTTAAGTTGAATTATTGAAGTAAATTAACATTTCAATGATATTCTGATGTTCAGTTTATTTACTGTGTCTTGTTCAGTTGCTGCTGTTGTTTGTGCTGACATCCTCCTCTATTGTCTGCGCAGCAAATTGGTCTTTTAGTCACGTCTTTCCTGAATGCCCTGCTGTCCGCTGCCTGCTGCGTTGGGCTGCTCTTGGCCATTGGGGTCACTGTTGCGCACAATGGACAGGGCCTGATGCAGGGCTGCAACAGTACAGCTGCAGGAGTGCCCATCAGTGCAAGGTCACCTGTCAGTGCCCGCTGTCCCTTTGATACCACAAGAATCTATGTAAGTGTAAAGTTAATGATGAAGGGAACGTGGCGTGGTTGAACCTGCCACATAAACAAAGAACAGTTAAATCATTCATACTAAAGACTTTTTCTCGATCTGTTAATAAATCATGATAATACACACTCAGTAGTGTACTGAGCCAACTCTTTCCTATTTCTCTAAAACTGATTATCAAAGTCGTGATACCTAGGCCTCAAGCCACAAAAAGATTAACTATATGATTTGGGACTTTTTTGTGGATATAAATCATATATTTTTTTACCTTTTCAGAAGAACAGTTAAAAAGAGCACCACCCTCACCCGACCAATCAGCTCACTGCCCAAAGGCCCCTTTCTTCTTAATGCGAATGATGATATAATGTTTTAAAGAAGATAAAGAGGGCATGTTGTAGTCTGATTTATTCGCTAAATTGTACTTTAAAAGACTCTGTTGGGACACAAAATATATAATTTATGGATCAAAAGAAGTTAGATTCTCCAGCTTTAACGTTTGCATGTTTTGTTATGTTGTGACCCAGGACACCACCTTGGCTCTGTGGATCCCCTGTGCTGTGCTTTCGGCCGCTGAAGTTGGTCTTTCGATCTGGTGTTTTGTTGTTGGACTGGCTTTGAGAGGCCTAGCTCCATGTGGACACAGCTACATCAAAGAACAGGTGTGTGTTTGTGCAAGTGAATGTTTGCCTGTGTTATTCATTGGTGCAATGTGTTAATAATCTACACTAATACATATCAGTCACATTCAGTATTTAAATCTAGTGTCTATATTACATCTGTTTCTCTAAAACTCTTTAAAGATCTAAATGAATCTGTTTCTTTCTACCCTTTGGAGTAGAAAGAAATTGGTTGGACTTTTTATGAAGCTGAGGTCTCTGTAGTTTTGCCTTCTGATGACTCATTTACTCTAATGATAAGTGGGAACAGAGAAAGAGGAAACTCCAAAGTTGGCAACATGTTCTTTGGTAAATATAAAGGAGGTTTTAGCTGGTGTCTGGGAAAGGGGCTAATGTCTGTTACAACTCCCCATTCACATCTGAGGCAAATTTCACTGAAACAATAGATTTAGGGACCTGTAATAAAGCACACTGTATACATTTATTTTAAGTTTATTTGCAAATTTGTGGACTATATTTATTTGAGAGTATCAAATGGCTGACTGCAGATAGATTGAAATCTTATGGGGTTCCAATGTTGCTAATTGCTCTTCATTTTGTTTTTTTTCTCCAGCTGGAAGATGAGGTCGCAGCCACGGGTCATAGCCAACATCTGATTGGACAGTCATCCATTCCTGATGCGTAAAAGATTTTAAAGGAAATTTTTAGTATTTTCTTTTTATATAATTGTATATCCAAAATCCTAGTAGGCATTTCAAAAACTTTGCGAAGATCTTTTTTATTATGAAGGTATCATTCAAGATTTATATGTTGTAAGAACTTTCTTTTCAGTGAAAGATGTTTTTAATTATTACGTTTTGACATGAAGTGTCAGTATTAACGAAAGATGACTGTATTGGTTTTGATGTAATCATGTTTGCCACACAAACACTCCACTGCACTGTACATTAATGCATGATACAATGCATTTATGCTTTTAAAATTAAATATATTTTAATGCAATGTTGTCATATCACTGTACCACATTTTATAGGCTCAAATGTTTTTGACTTATAAATATGGGATTTTCTCAATAAAAGAGAACTCCTGGATTACTGCCAATCTGTCTGCTGATGCCATTTGTGGTTAAATTTGGGTAAATGTCAAGTGGGGTTACGGAAAGGGTTAAAGCGGTTGTCTAAGTGGGCCAGTGTACACATTAGACCTACTGTAAAGCCATGGACCCTCCCTGCACTCGCCCAGAGCTCTGTGACAGAGAAGATCAGATCAGCCATGAAACTGTTAATCTAGTGCACAGCTCAATCGTGTGGAATGAATCGCTGCACGCACTACTAATCCTGGAGCTGGACAGGATAAATATTGACATGAAGTTGGCTGATATGATGACGGCCTCTTCTGTGGCCTTTTCATCTTGTGTCACAGTGATTCAAGTAACATGAATGCTTACAGTAACCACTGCTACTAGTGGTCCATTAAACAAAACAAATTTAATCTGCTTTACATCTCTTATTAGCCCATATTACATTGACAATTTGACCTACATTATGATGTGTAGCGTCTGTATTGAGTGTAGTTACGTAATAGGCCTTATGAGGCACTCAAAGAAGATTTATATTAGCCGTGTCAATGTTTTTTTTTCCTCCTTCTCCTTGTTTGGCAAAAATGCGACATTTGCTGAATAGATTTTAAAAAAGAATATATAAATTTATAGAGAATATGTATTTTGATCTCGATCTCATGAATGTGATTGAAAGCATCCAGGTCCCAATGTGGTAACCGTGCGCAGTCACAAGTGCGCGCTCCCGTCATATCGGCAGCTCTGCATGGAACCAGCTGCCAACGGTGAACAGCGACACTCTGCAGCACATGCGGCCGGCGGACAGAGCTGTAGACCCGGGCTGTGGACGAGTCTGCAGGTCTGAGTCTGCGGAGAAGCTTGTGCAATGTGCGGATTCATGATGTCGAGTGCGCTGAGGTGCGACACTCCAGCGAAGTCCTGCGCGCTGCTCACGGACAGTATGTAACGCAGTTTGGCACAAGACAAACGCATCCCGCGATCAAGACTAGTGCACTCTCCCCGTGAGTCTGGAATGTCACTGTGCGGATCATTTACAGCGGGATTCAAGTCTTTCGTTCATGCGACAACGGTACGTGCTGTTACCTGACGTCCGCCATCCTTACGCTGTTATTATGGCGCTTATTACTCGTTGGTTCAGGGAGCTGGTATAGGCACGTGTTGTTGACATTTTTAATTGCCATGTTTTATGACGCCAAATTCTGCAGCCTCAACATTATAGATGGTGTATGTTAACTTTATATCGACTATAAAACCATTGAACATATCTTATCCCAAATAGTGAGACATCTGAGTCCAGCGTGTTGCCCTGCCAACCTCACACAAACAGGGCGCGGGGGAGTGTCTGTCTGCAGGTGTAATCTTCATGTCAGAGCCTCCAAACCCGCAGTGTTTGTTAAGGCTTGCTTAGGACATGTTTTCAGATGTCTGCTACATATAAACTATGCCTGACCCCTCTCATTAGGACAGAAAGTAGCAGATTTAATTACAGCATATAACTTGTATGGCCTCTAATAACAAAAATCACCAATTATTTGACTTTTCCAGGACCTGCTCTGAAGAAAACTCCATGAAACCTGATGGATTTGCCTCTTCAGCTATGAAAGGACAATGCAGATTTCTAATGGGACATATTTTGACAGTTTGAATTCTTCACATGGATTTATTTTTGATTTTCTAGTGCAGTGAGCTGTTTTTCCCATGTTTGCTCATCTATTATTCAAGCTGTTGGATGAGCTTCCTGGGGTGATAATAAAGTCATCATGAGCGCCTCCAAAGCTCGAGCTGAGATGCACGGCGCGGGTGAAAGAGGATGTGGGTCTGCGGCTTTTTGGACACAGATGCCTTTTGTCACCCGTCTCGTGCTCCTGCTGTCCTCGGTGCTGTCCCCGTCTCTGTCCATACATCTTGAGGTTATCGAGAGCCACAGTGAGTTCACCTGTGAGCCCGTCAGACTGAGAATGTGCCAGGACCTGCCTTATAACACCACCTTCATGCCCAATCTGTTGAACCACTATGACCAGCAGACAGCAGCTCTCGCCATGGAGGTACGTCTTTGTGCACACTGCCTCTGAACAGCAATCCCACAATACAATGTCACTATTGTGGACATTAGTAAAAGGTTTTCTTTGATGGGACTCAATGCAATCTTGGTATTTGGCTGTGAGAAAAGAGAAATATTACAATTTTGTATGAGATTCTTTCATTGAATTTGTTCCTAAAAGTCAAAATGAGGTTAATGTCAGGGTTAAGGTTAGGAGCAATTTATCTGGTTAAGTTTAGGGTAATTTATTTACAATGTCATTAATATACAGCATAAACATATGATAAAATGTTGCTGGAGCAAGGCAGCAGAATTTTTATACCAAACATGAAACAAATTGTTGAAATAGATAAATAAATACCCATGAATTCTCCCACTCATCCAATTTGAAAAAAATATGATCATTACTGTATGAAACAAAAGTAAGGGTAAGGGTTAGAGGTAGACTAGCTTGCTCCAGGACAAAATACCAAGGTTGTAGAGAGGCCCCTTCTTTGATGCCTGATAAAAAACAGTATTCACATTGCGTGGGTGTACCAAAGATAATACATTTTTGGATGGCGTAAGGCAACAGTCGGCAGTTTCGCATTGCGGTATGTTGGGAATCTGCTTGGGACAATAGCACTTCAGGCCTGCATCTTAAATTAAATCCTGCTTTTGTTATCAAATATATTCAAGACAAATTATGTTATGCCCGGGACACAAATAATTCCATCTTATCACAAAGTTTAGACTAATTCAGTATCTTTAGATTGCACCTGTAGAAAAAGAACCATCAGAAAACCCAGTTCTGCATCACTTGGTTGTCGTACAAAGCCAGGGTTGTTTTTGTTTTTCTTCTTGGTTCACAACACTTCAGAGACCTAACATATCAAAGGGTTAACAAGAACATTGAAACATTTGAGGAAAGACGATAGCAGGTCTTTCCTTATGTTACACGACATCCTCCTTCTCCTGTTACTCTTCCATCTAAGCGCAGATAGATGCATAAGCAGCTACTCCCAGCCTTTCATGTCAACGGACGGACAGACAGGCAATTTGTCTGACCACTGCCTCCAGGAAACACCGGTGCTATACTTAAGTAATTAATACGTACGCAGTAATGGGCTTTAGTGTGAGGGTGTTGAATTTTAAACAAAAAACACTGTTCTTACACAGCGTCGGGACAGATCGAGTTGCATCTCTTTCATATTCCTTTGTTAGACTCCAGAGAGAGACGAGGTGTTGCTGAATGGAAAGATTGTAATTACCTTGTCATCGTAAGTCTGTATTTGAACCAGTGGCAATTTGGGATCTGAGGACAGCTGGGTGGGGCACTACCACTTCACTACTGGTCAAAATGGTCCCATGAAATGTGCGCAAAGTCAAATTATTTCAAAGATTTATGTCGTGAAGAAGCTAGAGTTGGACAGCTTTTTTCACATTGCATAGTAAAAAAAAAAATCATTGGGCTATTGCAACTACATTCAGATACATTATCACTGCCTCCAGCTGTTCAGAGAAGCATATTAAATTACGCCTGTTGAAATCTGGATGACGTTAGACAAGACTAGAGAATTTCATGGCTTGTTGGGTAATGATATTCAAAAGCCTCATGTCTAACCTATAAAATTACAATGTTACAAAATAGACCTCCATCTACATGTTTTCTACATCCTATTAAAATATATACCCTTTGTACGCGGATTAATAGGATGGCCCCAGGGTGCTCGGAATCCCCGTTTCTTCAAGGTTATGCTCAGAAATGCTCCATGTCTCCTCCCACTGCAGACCGCTTCCTCTGACCTGTGGCTTTACGAGGACAAAAACATTTCATGCCATCAAAATGTTTCGCCAGCAATCTCAGACCACACCGCATGTTAAAATGATTGACCTCCTTTCGTTTGCTTAGTTTTAGGAGTAAAATATGTGTATTTATGATAATCATGTCAAACCCAATCGCTCTTCTAAGGAATGATCAAAGGCAGGTACCAAATTTGATACGAGAATTGAAAAAAATTTGACTTAAAAATGAATGACATGGAGTAGAATGCTGCGGTCCTTTTTCATGGGTTTCATCTTTCTCTTTGAAGATAATAAATTATACTTTTTTAAACTGTCCTGCCTTATAATGAAGATGAACAAGGTAAGGCAAGGCAAGTTTAATTGTATAGCACAATTCATACACAGGGCAACTCGAACAGGTAAAAACTATGAAGACAGTACGTTCATTTGTTCAGAAAAGATTCACATTTTCCCATTTTAATTTGAGTAATTAATTCATTTCTATAATTTCATTTTTGTTACTTTTGTTCATTTTTTTTTTTTTTTTGATATTTTTTATATTTTATAATGATGCGACCACTCCATCTCCATAATCTGATGTAGAAGAATCCATAATAATACACTGGTTTTATTTGCAATGTTTCGTTGTGTTTTTGCATTTTAATAAACTGGAAAAAATTGACATCAATGAGCAAAACAAAAAAATACCATAAACAATACAGATACAGAAGCTGCAGCGAAGACCGGACATAAGACAAGAAACAAAAGAAGACATCGAAGTGTCCGTGCGTTTTAATTACGACGTTAAAATCGCATTATTTCTGAATTGACAGGAGTTGACATTTTGCTTGTGCCCACTGTGTGCTTTACAGCCATCACTGCAGTGCGATAAGATTCACCCAGCACATTAGGGACAATGCACAAATCAGGCGAATTCCCAGGCGTCATGTCAAAACACGTTGCCCACAGATTGTGAGAAGCATGTGTTGTTGAACTTGATTTAACCCAGTAGAAGCAGGAGCCGGAAACTGACACCCACGGCCCGTAAGAAGGCGGCTTTCAGACGGCACGGAGCAGCAACACGAGCTGCTCTGCTCTATCACTTGGCAGAGAGATTTGATAATGTATGTCACAAGAAACTGTTTACATCTTGGTGGCTACATGGCGTTTGAGCGCGGTTTGATAAAGGTGTTTTTACTTTTTTTTTTCAGATATACTTCAATTCAATGTTTTTTTCTACAGCCCTAAATTAGTACCACAGTCGTCTCTGAGGACTTTGCTGAGTTGCCGATTTGACAACTACAGATCGGAGATTCAAAGAGTCTGAACACAGGAAATGCAATAATAACAAACACATATGAGCCATTGGTCCAGATAACCATTGTGATTGCGATTTGTGATTTATATTATAAAATTACGACGTTCAAATCGTACTTTGGGATTCAAATATGAACCTAAAAATATGTTTTAAGTTTTCTTTATTAAATATCACTGTGCTTAAGACTAATTTGGACAAGACTGGACATTCCTTTTCCATTAGCAGATAAAACAGGCAAACAAAATGCCCTCAACTGAAGAGAATTACTACCTTTTTTAATCTCTTACTAGCCTATTTTTGACATTTGTACTTATTCTTGTATTTCTAAGCCTGTTTTGGAGTTTTTAAAGACAGGAATAGCCAAAATAGTATAATTTGAAACAGGACAATTTGTTGTTTGTTGAGGAAATTATGTAATCTGAATAATTGCAGTCTTTATGATTAGCTAATTGTAGCCGCTAACATTGTGCTATCAATTCCATTGCGATTGACCATGCTGCCTATTGCTCAAATGGCTTTTATCAGCATCTGAATCATGGGAATCTCCGATCAGCATCCGTGCCTCTTTTGTCTCGAGGATTCATGCTTCCTGATGATGAAATTAAAACCACACCATCCCAACTCAACATTGCTCTCTTATCTTATCGCTGCCATTTTGAAGCCTGATCAAATCTACATAAATCAATTTGTGAATAATATTGTGTGTAATAACAAACATGCTACTATGCCCTGCTGCTTGACTGACAGCCTGATCGTCCACTGCGGTGCTTACGTGTGTGATTAGTGGGCGGGGCTTCGAGCAGCTTCCTGTGACAGACGGAGTGATTGACAAGTGGTGCAGCTGTCGCTCTCACTAGTGCTGCTAACTAGCTGCTAATCTCTCTCTCAGCAGCAGCAGCACAATGAAGTCATTATTCCCTCACACTAACTGCCTCCCCATCTGCCCCCTATACTTCATTAGGAAGGCATAATCTAGAAGGAGGAGAGGAAGTCGGCTGAGGTGTTACCTTCTGTGCACAATAGGGCGCAATCACTTATATAGAATTGCCATGTTTTTGAGTAAGTAATAAGGCAAGGCAAGTTTATTTGTATTGCACAGTTCATACATAATCACAGTTTGTTAAGAAAGTGAAGATACAAACCTTCAGTTGTATGCACAGCTAAATTCAACTGTGTAGAAGCCTGTCTCACATTTTCAGGAAGATTGTTCCAGATTTGAACTGCATGAATCTGAAATGCTGGCTCCACCATTATTAGTTCTGACTCAGGGCACCAGCCGCAGGACGGTCCATGTGCTGCAAGAGTTCGAGTTTGTTAATAAGGCCAAAATGTGTTCCAAATTGATAGTGAGATGGACAAAGGGTGAGCTAGACACATTGATGGATAAACTAAATTTTTACATAATAAGTATCAATGCAATGGGGGTCGGTGCAATGTTAATCTGTGTAAAACAAAAACAAGAATTTGGTGCCATAGGGGTTTGTGCAATATCAGAAGATTTACAATACAATACAATACAATTTATTCTTGTATAGCCCTAGGTCACAACAGAAGTCATCTCAGAGGACTTAACAAAACCATTGAAATCACCAACACAGGTCAGAGAATCAACAGTTAAAACACATGAAAAATATAAAGCACACACAGAAGAAAATGTCCATACATGTTGTAGAATGCTAAAGTGTCCTGATCATCACCAATCCTTTCTGTTGGACACTAACTGTCCAACAAGACCCTCCTGCATCGACAAGGAAAAACTCTTAAAAAACCCAGTGGGAAAAAGTGAGAAACCTTGGAGAGAACTAGGGACTAGATTTGGTTTTGTTGTGTTAAAACTCAGGTGTCTCCAACCTTTTTTACCCAGAGAGCTACTTTCCCGGGACGAAAAAGGCAGAGAGCTACTCCTTTATGCGTCCCTGGGA